ATAATAATCCTGCATCTGACCCCTCAAGTCCATTGATAATGTTACTTCGACACATAAAACTTTCCACCAAATCCAGAGCTTCCTCATCAAGTGTGATTGGGTTGAGGATCTCGCTTTTTCTCTTGTGTATGTTGAGGCCTACTGATGTAGATGCTTCTGCCATTCTTGTTGTCTTTACCTGCATTTGTTCGTGCGTATGAGATTAAAATGCCAGGTCACCCCCGAAGTCCGGATCACATAGTCTCGTTCAGCCTGTCCATTGTATCCTGTACTTCCCTTGAGATGTGGAGGTCTTCATAATCCAGTCGACCACCACAAGAAAGGGAAAGAGGAAGGGTAGGCAGCCCTGTCTGTCACTGATTCTCACCTGGGATATGTCTGTCAGCTGTCTTCCTTGCGCGACTTTGCAGTATAGTCCATCATATGAATTTCGTATGATGTTGGCGATCTTCTCAGTTATAACATAATATGGAGTAAGTTTCCATGATGTTTTCCTCTCCACACCGTCAAGTATCTTCTCCTAGTCTATGTAAAGTTGATGTATAGTAACGATTTCCGTTCAACTGATTATTCAACGGTGATCCATAGTGTCGCGATTTGGTCTATGTATGATTGTTCATTATGGAGTGTAGCCTGTTGAATTTGAAACTGGGCATCTACTGAATCTTTCATCCGGTTCAGCAACAGTGTCAAAAACTTTTCACTGTACTGACAGTAGTGTGATAAATCTGTATTTCTCACATTCACTCAGATCTCTTTTCTCTGGTAACTTGATGGGGCGTCCATCTTGTCAGTCTGTCGACACTTGTTTTTCCTCCAAAATCTTTCCGAATGGAACGTGGGTCATTTTTGCAGTTGCCTCTATGTCTAACTTCAGGACCTCCACTGGTATATAGTCAGACCCTGCTGCTTTCCCACTCTTGATTTTGATGTCAATGTTGATTTCTTTGATCGTTGGCGGAGTGACATCTATAGGAAGGTGTGTATGTGCTGCTTTGACATCCCCAGGATTCCGTGGAGCTGGTCCACTCAAGTTCCGCAAAGTATTCTACCCATGTGGTCCTACGTTGTTGTTTCATGTTTCCTTCTCTTGCTGCTTTATCCGCTGTCGTTAGCAGGCCCTCCATGCATTTCTTCTTGCCATCTCTGGTGCATATCATCACATGTTTGCTTGCTTCTGTGTACTTAGCTTGTGACTTGTCCTTCTCTGTTCTCGTTCGGCTGTTGTTAATTGCTGTCTTTTTGTTCCTCCTTTCTTGTCCAGGATTGCCATAGAGATCCACTCCTTATGATAACGCTGTTGGTGGCCCGAGGCCTCTTTATACGCTGAAGTTGGCGCTTGTTTGACCCCTTTCCAATTGTCCTCCATAGTAGTTTCTTGATCTTTCAGTGGATTTTGTAATGCTTGAAACTTATTGTTGGGAGTTATTTTGATTTTGTTGAGTGTGCATGCTGAAGAAAGGCTGTATTAGACCTCTGTAATGCTGTTTCTCCAATTGTCTATTGACTCTTTGACTTCAGCTTTATCTTGATAACCACAACAAGCAGGTAGTGATCTGAATCTATGTCAGCTTCTCTCCTAGTTCTCACGTCTTCCATAGACCTGAATATTTTAGTGATGTAAACATGGCCGATGTTGTTCTGTGTTGTATGATCCGGTTAAACCCGTGTAGCTTTGTGTATGTGTTTGTGGGGGAATAATGTACCACATATAACAGATTTGTTGAATGCACATAGGTTTGCAAATCTCTCCTCAGTTTCGTTTTTCCCTCCCAGTCCATGTCGTCCCATGTTATCTTCATATCTGGTGTTGTCCATTCCGACTTTGGTATTTAGGTCTCCCACAAGGATCATGAAATTTCATCTTGGGCACTTTACTATGATTGCTTGCAGACCCTCGTAGAACTTATCTTTATCGTCGTCATTGCCATCATTGATGTGTACATAACATTGGATAAGATTAATTGTAATACCTTCCACCTTTGCTTTAAAGGATGCTTTGATGATCCTGGATCTATGAGGTCCTTTAAGTGCATCTTGTTCTTCTTTGGACAGCATCACAACAACTCCCTGAGTATGTGGAGCATTCCTGTCTTCGTGACAGGAGTACAGCATCATCTCTGCCGTATGTAACTTTTGCTGTCCAGATTGAGTTCAAGGGTTTTCGCTGATTACGAGCACTTCCAAATTTATTTCCTCATTTGACTGGTCCTCTCAGTATCCCACATTATCAGTACATTACATGTACCATTGTAGAATTATGGTCTACTATGATATTAGTACTGCTTTAATGATAGACCTAATCCTAAATTGTAGGTTTATCATGATATAACTGCCTAATCTATAAGATCTTACGTGGAAGTCACATCATTGTCTACACCATCTCACTGTATCGTCACAATTACTAATACATGATAGAGAACAAGCTTTGGCTAGAAATAGAACAGTATATTTAATATGAATAGAAGATAAAAGATAACATTCGGTGGGGACCACGCCTGCATGGCCGAGCCATGCCATCCGAACAACTCTAATTAATTCAATTCCTTATTCCCGCCTTCTACATTCTTAAGTATTTTTCCGCGTCAAATATTGAATATCAATTTTCCGAGTAGTCTCGTGTTCAGCTTTGAGGATTGTGTGGTTATGGTCCAATGCCACTACACCATCGTTAATTAAGGCTGTGATTGTTAGGTGATTGGTCGGTTTCGTGACTTCTGAAGAATCTTGGCTTTCATCACGATGCTTCATGATTCATCCCTCAACTCGTAAGGTAGATTTTGGATGGTTTAATTTATTTGTTTTGGCTACCTTTTTTAAACAACGTTGTCTTTTACATCATGAGATCTCCTTCTTTACCTGGAAATTAAACCTGAAGTAACCGTAAAAGAACTGAAGGTGGAATTTCCAGTGTTATAGCTCAATCCCAAAATCGGTCAATTTGTCTGCTGACTATCAAGTAGGTTTAGGGTTGGGTAAATCCGTGGTTGGTTCACGGGAGACTTAATGCTCCTTTTCAAATAGATCATACGAAATTTGTCTCGCTCTGTCAACATTATTAGTATTATTATACAACTTATTTTTAACCTCGTTAGGCCATTTGCCTTTCGGACTGAAGAATGCTTTTCCTGAAGGAAATTCTCAACCAGCGCTGTGATTAAAAAAACCAATCACTCTAGCAGTTATCTTAAGTATTAAAATAATCTTATCAACTACGAGCCATGCTTCTATGGCGACAATTTTATTGAGTCTTAATTCTTCGAGGAAGCATAAGGCAGAGTCTGGATTGAAGAGATTGTGGATATTCGTGTAACGTACCATTAGGGTGTCTTATGGATTGCCTGTTATGTCCCAGTAAACTGCTTAACCATTATCGTTCGAGACTTCAGTACACCAAAACCGCGGACCTTTTGTCTCTCCAGTTTGCTGCCAAGGTTTCAGCCTCTCTCCTCTTTATTCGGTTACCAAATGGCCAACCGGACATGCACGCCAAAGTTTTGAGTTTCGTAAGCCTTTCCTCTATAGGCCGTCTCCTTCATAGTAGCTTGAGTTTTCATAACTTAGTATCATGTACTGCAAAACCATCTGCCGGGTGTACATCCCTGGTAGCAGATCTACCCAATTGTGAATCGTATGTATTCTGTATAACGGACTTGATGTCTTTTGACTCCTCCATATCAGAAGTAACTAAACGAGTTACCGACCGGGTTTCATCGAGTATCATGTTCACCTCTTGAAATTGGGCCGTTGTCTTTCTCCACAATTGAGGAAACTTTATCCTCTAGACTTTCTTCACCACTTGAACGATCTAGTTTGTCGCGTGCAAGATCTATAGCCTCTTCATATACAGTTCATATATACACATTCCCATATGACATTTATATCCAGTATGCTTTCTAGGGTGGCGATTCCCGTCTTGTGACAGCTCGAAACCCTACGACTGCGCCCAACCATGGTCGGGATCACTGATTTTTCTCCCTAAGCTATTAGGCGATGATAGTCTTAACCTTTCAGTTCAGAATGAGTGCTGAAGTTATTAAAAATGTTTACAGTTTCAACATTGTAGGGCTCTAGGTTCACCGACGGAATTGTGTTGTCATCTGACAATGTTTTTTACCGAACTGAAAAGTCCCGGAATTACACTGAAGGGACTCATTTATATATTCAAAGAGAAGCCGATTTACAGCACTTGATAATATACTAGCTCATATGCTGTAAACCCGAATTATGTGGCTGTTACACGGCACTTCGTCCTCGAAAGGCAAGTCATTGAACGACTTACAAAACAGATGACTTCCAGAGACAACCACAACTGATTGAAGAGGTACTATACTATGGACATTATTAACAAAGTTAAACACAAGTGAAAAACATCAATATTTACATTAGGATAAGTACAAAAGACAGTGAAGATGCCACAGGTATTCGGAGTTTGATAACGCTTTAACCAGTAACACCTTCTAATATGAAGCGCAACCACCAAGTGAAATCAAAAGATAGAAGTGAGGAGATCGAAGATATATTTGATAAGCTATCAATATATCGAGGATCGTTTTCACTAATCTGGCTAGCGATTGCGGCAGATGTTGAGCACGGCGTTCCCACACGTGATCTGGTGCGGATGCTTGACCGAGCGCCTTCAGCTAGATGAGTCCACTAAAACTGTGGTCAGCATCTAATGTCGAAAACTTACAGAGCTATTTATTTTGGGGAATTATTTACCGCTACAACAGAAATCTACCAAAAAGCAGCTTCAACTGGTGCTAGCCAAGAAATTTGTACAAACGTGCTTCACAGACCTAACCATCTCCAAAAGGATAAAGTGTGAGTCGAAAAATAAGCTTCTCAAATGATATACGCAATGGAAATCTATTATCTTCATCATCCATCATTTTAGGTCGCCTATCTTCTGTGATGTTTTATGGAAGTTACTTAGTAAGTTGGAGTCGTTCACAAAAATATTCACTCTCAGCATTTCAGAAGTAAAACTTCAACATTGTTGTGCTCGCTATTAAGCGTGTTTATTGAGACATTTTAATATTCAGTGTGGCGTTGTGATTTTTTCGGTACATGTCGCGGCACAGAAACGTAAGAGCGTTGTATGATGATGGTACGCGTTACCATTGTTTTAATAGAAACTGAACTAATAAATAGATGTCGATACTTATGACGAAGCCTTCGCTAGTTCAGTTGATGATGACTATACAATATCCCCGAACACATCAGAACGATACATATATAATCCTGACTGTGTATTCAAGCAAGACATATCAGTATCTATAACGAATGTCAAGCCATTAAGTTTCACAGCAGAAGATTTCCCAGCAAACGATTCCGAAAATTTTAAACCAGGTCAGTCTTGTTTATTTTTTAAATATCGACTATTCACTTCACAGACGATTCTCCTGGAGTTGTGTCTGGACGAATAGGGTCTTGTCAGGCATTTGATTTCTCCGTACCAAAAACTAATGAAGTTACGAATCAAAATGATAGCGTGCATGGCTCTGACGAGGTGTTTGGTAACAGTGATCTCTTTGACTCAAGTGGGTTATCACCTTGGTTTATTTCTTTACTAAATCGTAGGTAATTTTAAACATCTGAACACAAGTGTCGTTGGGGAAGATAACTTAGTGAACAGTACAATTTCTGTAAATAAGTCCAAAGTAGAGGAGTTGGATTTTGAATTGCTTGACCGTTTAACTTCACAATCCTCTTCAACTCAGCACTCGTTTCAGAAGCCTTTTAAAACCACAGTTAGTGTACAAGATACTACAAATCGCCTTAAGTCGAAATCGACTTACCTTCATTTTTTGTCGAAAACAACTAACCTTTTTAGCTCCAACTGTAGTATTTCAAAGTTAGCTGGCATTACAACATATGATATTCCGACAAAGAATGTTAACAGTACTGGGTGTCTCATAGGGTTTAAAACTCCTAGTTTCTTTGGCTTGTTAATGTCATCGTATACCGCTGATAAATTAAAGGGATTTGATGGAATGTTATCAAGGTTTTCAAACATTATAGTCCGCACACGTTCACCCATTTATAACCACCTATTCGCACCTCGTACTGTCTCTGGATTTGTTTTCGATATTCCGGAGCCAAAGACTTTTGAACGTTGTAGTTCAAAACTAGCTAGTGTAACGACAAGGCCTTGCAGTCAACGAAAAGTCACAACACATGGTATGCTATACATTATGTATTCGTCAGTTATGTATTTATTTATTTGTTCTAAATTAATTCAACCAACAAATTCAATTAAAGAATGAGTAATTATAAATCACAGTCAACTCAAGATTTTGGGAAAGATTAGGTTACTGTGGTTTTATCGCATAGGCAATTGTTCGCACATAGTTGTAGTTCAAAATCATATAATAAAATCGGGTCCTTACATTTTTACCTTATGGAGAAGTTTTACTGTGATTTAAACACTTAAAACCAACAAGTAAAACCTGTTAAGCGGTTATGAGTAGTCGATAGGGTACATTGTATCTCGGTTTTTGTGTTATCTGGCACTCATCAGCAGAATGTACCTGCAATCTTGAGAAAATTGATGCTAGGTAAAGGAAAATCAATTTCCTCAAGATTATTTTAATGGTGAGAACCAAATGGCCGAAACTTGGGTTCAGAGTTTCCTATCGATTACCTCCAATCACTTGATATATCAACATAGTGCACGCGATGTATAGTCATTTAGACTATTGGCCACACTGCAACTTGATTGACAGAACATGACTAAACAAATATGACACGTCATTACACAGTGACCAGTCAATTGTAAGTGAATTTTTCGTCTTGTCGGTTTGTTTGGTGTGTGATATGTACTATATAAGATCGGGGAAATATTGCTAATACTTCTTTTTGTATCAATGTTGATTTATGCAGCTTCATGTGTACCTCAAGCACGTCCCACGGAAGGGGTCAATCATGCTGATACATCATTATTAAATTTATCTCTTTCTCAGAAATTGACGATCTCTAGTCATTCTGATGAACGTTCTAACTTCTTACGTACTCCGGGCAATAATTCAGCAACTCCTAGTAAACCCATTGACCGGCATTCTTTGGTAAACGAATATTCTAAATTGCATAAAGAGTCAGCAGAAAAAGAGATTATCAATCTTATCGTTATGGGTAAGTTTAACTAATTCTTCCTGCCTAAAATGTTATTAATGTATGCTTTTTCACTGGATAATAATTACCTTTATAAATCTATACTTTTGTTGCTTAGTAGTAGTTGCTAAGAGACCATGGAACTGGGTTTCCTGCTAGTTGAATTTCATGAGCAAGGAGCCCTTGGAATCCTAAAGGAACTAACGTTATTTCCTGGACTTCAACTTGCTTCACCTCGCTTCGCAGTTTGAGATGTTACCACTAAGTTACTCAGGTCGCTATTGACCTGTTGTGGAACCATGATATTTACAGTAACCGATGTCCTGTGTGTCTAATCCTTAGGATCGGTTGAATTCTATCAGTTGTTTGCGATTGTGCTTCACATTTGTATGTAGGCACGTATCAACCTCGTCTTTAGTGACGAGACAATGTTTCATGTGTTGGCCCCGTTGTAGGGAGTAATTTCCCACAAACTTAATTTTAAACTAATTTCCAGTCTGTTCAACATGGAGTCTTAGCCTTGTCAAAGTCATAACAGCTATTTGGCGTGATAAACTATCTTTCGAAGACCAAGTAACACCATTAGTATACAATATAATCTATTAGACAAGAATGAAAAGCGACATAACATACCGAACAGTAACTAGAGGATAGGAAAAGTGAATCAGCGAAACTTAATATCTTATATGACAAACATAAAAGTTTGTAATTGCTGAATGAACCAGGCATAGTCATACAAGGTCGAAAAGGGTCACTGTTGTAGTAGGCGTTTAATGCTGTCATTGGTTTTTTTATCAACCACGGCTTACACTTCCCCCGAAACACTCACCACGTCCATTGTGTCTGGGTCTCCATCGTTAAACAACTGGTTTCTTCAAATAAGCATAAGTTACAATAGTTCATTTTGTTCAGCTATATTAATGTCATTTACTTTTTTGTATCGTGATTATACATTCGTGCTTTTATCTGTACTATCTCGACTTATTTCCGTACAATATTGTTTTGATTTCTGTTTTTTTTCACACCTACCAGGTTGTACTGCTAGTCTAAATATGTACATGACAACAACATTGCACCCCATTCTTTATTATAGTCACTGAATACTAAGTGTAAGATGACAATATTTCTAGTCACGATGATTTTGGGTATCATTCTCACTTGTCCAAATTAACGATTGATTTGCATTAAGGTTAAATAAATTATTTAGTGAAACTATGAACGAGTGCCTGATGAGACACTTTGACTATATTTTGTGTCAAACATTAATAATACACCATTCACGAAAATGTAGATATAAGATGTTTCTAGAGAGGATAGGCAAAATAACATCTGTTGTAACTAAAACGAAACATTAGTACAACTATTTGTTATAGTCAGTCAGTCAGTAACAACGCGGAACTTCGTACGTACATACATCAGTTCGAGTTGCCATACCACATTAGCACAGAGATTCAGTTATCGATTCAAATCCCATAGTGGTAGAGGTAGTGAAAGTATAAGTAGTGACAGGGAACATTAAGGTTTGATGATGTTATTAAAGAAGTATAGTCCAGTAGAATAAATTGGGAAAGAAAATAAAGGACATGAAGAATTCAGAAGATTAGAGTTTGAGAGAACACAAAGAGTGGATGCACCTGCGCCATTGCAAACGATTTTGAGCAATATCATTCAAGGTCTCTAACCATCGGTTGCTATCATCTCGCGGTCCCCAACCAGGTAGTCTACATCTACCAACATGACTCAGTCGACTTGTCAGTGACTTCATGGATTTGTGCCATGTTTTGGTCTGGCCGCCCCTAGCTTTCTTCCAACCTACTCCTACACCATAAAACATAGCACGTCGGGGCAGTCGGTGGTTGGGCATGCGCAACACATGTCCCAGCCATCTCAACTGATTAAGTTTCCCTACTTCCTCAACTTGGACCGATGCATATACGTGCCTGGTCCTACGTTGCAGCTGACTGACTGACTGACTGACTTCCTCAATTGATTTGCCATCCTTACCTAGTACCCGTTTCATAACAACTGCATTACTTACTCGGTGGTCCCAGGATATATGAGCGATGTTTCGAAGACACCTAATGTCAAATACTAGTAACCTACGAATATCCTCTACTCTTACTGGTCATGTTTCACTGCCATGAAGTAGGACGGAACGAACTGCTGCGCAGTAAACACGTCCTTTGGTTGATAGACGGATATCTCGCCTTCGCCACAAATGACGCAAGTTGGCAAAAGCTAGTCGAGCCTTTAGTATCCGTGCTGAGATTTCGTCACACACCAAACCACAAGGGCTGATGAGACTTCCGAGATAAGTGAAGCGGTCGACACGCTCAACTACTTCACTCCCTATCACTATCCTGAAGCAACATTTTGCATTTCGAGGGAGAAAATCGCATGCCGAACATGCTTGCATTGTTGCTTAGAGTGGTCAGCAGACTCTGCATTCTGTCAGCGTCTTCACTAAATAGAACTATGTCATCGGCATATTCTAAGTCAACAAGTGAATCTCCCGGTAGAAGTTCAACTCCTGAAAATTTAGATGAGGAAAGTGTCATCTCTAAAAGGACTTCAACGACAAAGTTAAACAAGAATGGAGAGAGTGGACAGCCCTGACGAACGCCACTTGAGGTAATCAATTCTGATGACAGTTCACCATAAGCTCTCACTCGACCAGTTGTGTTCGAGTAGAGAGCCTTTATAAGGTTGATGTACTTCTTTGGTACTCCCTTCAGTGACAAACACTGCCATAGAACCTCAAGATCAACAGAGTCAAATGCCGCCTTAAGGTCGAGAAATACTACCATTGTGGGGCGTCTGAATGTGTGTCTATGTTCTAGGATCTGACGTAATGTGAATATTTGATCAATAAAACCACGTCCAGGTCGAAAACCAGCCTGGTTTTCTCTAGTCTGCTCTTCACGAGCTTTGGTTAGACGTCGAAGTATTATTGAAGCTAATATTTTAGACACTATATTAGTCAAACTAATTCCTCTGTGATTGTCACAGGAGGACTTTTGTCCTTTCTTATAGACTGGCACAATCAGTGATTGAGACCAGTCAGATGGGATTACGTCCAGACCTCAGTCAATCTCGCTGCTAATACTGGACCGCCAACCTTAAAAATCTCAGGGGTAAACCTGTCAGGGCCTGCTGCTCTCCCACGCTTCAGATTTTTTATAGCTTTTTCAACTTCGTAAAGAGTCGGAGGACTTACATTAATTTGCCATTCAGGTCGACTGGAGATCGTGGGAAACCGAAGTGTGGCTGAAGGCCAGTTGAACTGATCCCTAAAGTATTCTGCCCATCGATCCAATCTCCTAGATTGAGAATAAATAACATGTCCATCTTTCTCTGAGATTGTTTCGCTAACAGTTGGGTTCCTAATACCGGTTTCCTTAACAAGTCTGAACAGTTGTCTTTTGTTACATATTGCCGCTGCTTTTTCCATCTCTCTTGCTTTCGCTACCCACCACTGTTCACGATCTTTGCGTAGGCTTCTTGTCAGTTTACGCCTAAGCTGACTCCGCTCTTCGTTATGTTCAGAGCCAAATGGAATGAGTTTCCGAGCATCTATCAGTGCGATAGACGCTGCTGAGATCCAGTGTTTCTCCCTAACTTTATGATTTACCGTACTTGCAGACATCACTGCTGTTTCTACAGCTTTTCGGATGTCATTCCACGTTGCCTCGGGGTGTGCATCAGTTACATAGCTGCCTAACTGTTTTTCTAGTTGTTCCTGAAATATACTCATAGTTTGACTATCATTAAGTAGGACCCTAAGGGGTTTCCTTGCAGCATGTTTCCTACGTCCAGTAAGACGTAGACAAATACGCGCTCGCACTAGAGCATGATCTGAGTCTAAGCATGTGCTCCAGAATGAGCGACAGTCTTCTATCGAGCCCCTCCATCGGTGGCTGATAGCGATGTGATCTATTTGGGTCCAGCGTTGAGACGAGTTAGGGGGTCGCCATGTTCAAAGATGTTTTTCCTTATGCTTAAAGTTAGTGTTTACAAGAAACAGGCGGTTATCTGAGCATAGCTGCAACAGACGGTCGCCGTTATCTGTTCTTTGAGCCGCGACACCATAAGATCCACCCAGGTGTCTTTCCTTTTCGCTTAGTTTACCTACTTGAGCATTAAAGTCACCAGCCACTATTACTACATCTGAACGCCTAGCTTTTCGGAGAAGGTCGGAAAGCTTTCTGTAAAACTCATCTTTTACATCATCTGAGCTGCAGTCAGTGGAAGAGTAAGCAGAGACGACGAAGAGGCAACGACGAGTGTCCCTATCTTTTCGAGTCCTTACTGTTCCGTTTAGTCGGACAGCACACAAACGACTGTCTACTAGGATCCAGTCTAAGAGAGCTAGTTCTGCCCTAGGACTCAATGCTATACCTACGCCAGCGAGGCCACGGGAAGCAGCATCAGGGCTTCCAGATACACGAAGCGTAAATCGAGTTGGTTCGTTACTTTGACATGGTGCGGTCAAATGAATGACACTACTAGGATCCTGTGTGCGCGTTTCGGAGACGCAGCACACATCGATGGAGCGAGATTCTAAAGTCTTAGCTAAGGAAGCCTGTTGTCCTATTTGGCACAGTGTTCGGACGTTGAAAGCTCCTACGTGTAGTTTGGAGCGTGGTTTCAGGAGACCAGGAATAACGTTCCGCGTACTCGAATCGTTCGCACTAGCGTGGCGAGGTGATAAAGGGACGTAAGAAGGGTTAGTCGTGGAGATAAGAGAGTTATTAGGAGGTGTAGGAAGGATTTGAATGTGACCAACTTGGTCTCGTGTGCTGTTACGGGTATGAGGGCTGATATCACTTCCCGGTTGCCCACACCGTGGAAGGGTATTTCTTGAGGGACCTGAAAAGGAAATCGGATTAGTGTTGGTCTTAACGACCACCGAGCGTGATCGCAGAGCCCAAGGGACAACTGCTTGAGGCCGGTCGCGCACGGCCTTTTTGTGGGAGGTTTTTAATGTGTTAGCTCCGTTCTTCAAAGGGCCTTACCGCCGGAGACGGAAATCCGTGGGGTAAGGTGAGGTGTGACATTTTTAGGGTCAACCTTTTCTAACCCCTTCCTTCCTTGTGAGAAGGCAGCATCGCTGCTGATGCTGGTTGTCTGAAGGAAACACCTTACTGCTGTCACACCTCTGTACAGTCAGCAGTACGACTTCGCCCTCAGACCTTGAGTTGCTGCTTTTAGTCTTACCGTTCTCCAATCGACCTGCCTGGCATGGTAGAACCTGCAGAAACATATGTACCAGCCAATATAGCTCAGTTGGGTCATCACGATAGGCAAGCCCGGCCACCACGTCAAGGTAGCAGCTACGGTCGGGACTATTTGTTATAACTGATCAAAGATTGATATAGCTTAACTCAAGAAAGAAAGTAACACTTAAGATAAAAATTTTACTATGCATTAACAGTATATTCAAAACTGATCTAATACTAATCAAAACTATATCATAATACACTGAGTTACATATAAGTTAATTATCTGGTCGACAGTCGAATTTGAATACATTGATCTAAGCAGTACTTGACATAAATTAATTAATTAGCCTAATACGTGTGTACAATTTACAATGTCAACAGATTAAATTACTTAAGCTAACAAGTATAAAATTTTCTCTTTCCCAACAATATCTCACAATTTTAATTGAAGCTGTTAACGCTTTAACGTATGCGTATATTAGCGTAGTATTTTACCATAAATCTCATGTTTAACTATCGACAATATAAGACATAATGTCACCAGTTCAGTATACTGTTTATAGGGTCGTAAAAACGTTTCAATGTTCATCTTTAAATGTAAATATGTATATATTTGTTTTTCTTTTAAATAGGACATGTGGATGCTGGTAAAAGCACTCTAATGGGAAATCTACTTTGTTTGTTAGGACATGTTTCTAGCAAACAATTAGCTAAATACCAATGGGATGCACAAAAAATGGGCAAAGCATCATTCGCCTATGCATGGATTCTAGACCAAACTTCAGAGGAAAGAAATCGTGGCGTCACAATGGATATTGCACAAACTTCATTTGAAACGAAATCAAAACGAGTAAGAGACCAGAAGTATGGTTTATATATTTATATTTTTATGTGATTATATCTATGCTTTCGAAATATACAGTATATAAACATAAAGATTTTCTGACGCCTAATTTGTGATTTTCACTGTATTTAAGGTTAATCCTAGTCAATCTATTTGGGAAGGAACACTGGTGAATTGATACGGCAAGACTGTAATTTATAGACGAACAAATAGGATTTAAGATATCAGGTCTTGGATTTTGACGTGAAATTCGTTCATCCATATGGTTTAATAACATTTTAGCATTATAACTGATGTCCGTGATGAAAACCTTCACTCTAATTCCTAACCCTAGTGTCCAGCCCTAAATCCTAATCCGAACTATCCATACTAATTTATAACCTTCGTTTAATGCTAGTAAGTTGGTCGACACTCTTAAGGTCACTTAAGCTTTTATCAAAAGTCGTCCATAAATTATAATCTAACCTCTTCATCAACTGAATTTACGTGGACATGTATTACGGATATTCAATCACTATTTACCATAATAAGTTATACTAGTTAGCATGGGGATAGGTTTGAAAAAGGCTAACAGTAACAAAAATAGAACATTTAGGATCATCAACCCATGAAGTTACTAACTGTTAATTTGAGTTATTTAGTTTTGTCTTCTAATTAACTGATTACTAAGTACATATTTATGTACTTGATTTCGAGTCACATTCTAATTGCGAGAATTAGTGAGACTACAACCTTGTTGTCATAGCCAAAGTAGATGAAACTGAATTCGAACTTCCAACTTAGTGGTTCGGAAGTCAAATGCCTTAACCACTAAGCCATTGCTAATCGTAATCTATGGTTATAGAAGATAAGTGATTTATCTTGAAATCGCTTGTAGTGACATCGACGTATTCATCCTTATGCTTTCTGTAGATCTTGAGCTTTAACATTATTGCATACTTCTCATTTTTTAAAATTTTATTCATTCTCTTGAATCTATATTTGTTAGTCTTTTATTATCATCAATAGTACAGTATATTCTTTTTATCAATCTTATTAAATTGACATTTGTGACAACTTTGTTGCATTCCGTATATATTGGTCATACTGACTAGATGTAGTCAGTAGGTTTTCTATATTGATGACGGGAGTAATATATGTTGACCATAATGTAAGCTGGTTAGCGTCGAAGTAACTACAAGCATGCTTCATCTTCTATTCGAGAAGATTTGGGAGGAGGAACAAGTGCCGATGGATTGGAAAGAAGGACACCTCATCAAGATTCCAAAGAAAGGAGATCTGAGCAAGTGTGAAAACTACAGAGGCATTACACTACAGTCAATACCGGGTAAAGTCTTCAACAGAGTGTTACTGAACAGGATGAAAGACGCAGTTGACGCTCAACTTCGAGATCAACAAGCTGGATTCCGTAAGGACCGGTCGTACACAGACCAGATTGCGACACTACGGATCATCGTCGAACAATCAATTGAGTGGAACTCGTCACTCTACATCAACTTCATTGATTATGAGAAGGCATTTGACAGTGTAGATAGGAGGACGTTATGGAAACTTCTTCGACACTACGGAGTTCCTGAGAAGATTGTCAACATTATCCGGAACTCATACGATGGACTACAGTGCAAAGTAGTGCATGGAGGACAGCTGACAGACGCATTCCAAGTAAGGACCGGAGTAAGACAAGGCTGTCTACTCTCTCCCTTCCTCTTTCTTCTGGTGGTCGACTGAATTATGAAGACCTTGACATCTGAGGGAAACTACGGCATACGATGGACAGCTCAGAACCAATTAGACGACTTGGACTTCGCAGATGACCTAGCCCTCCTATCACATACACACGAACAAATGCAGATAAAGACAGCCAGCATAGCAGCAGTCTCTGCATCAGTAGGCCTCAACATACACAAAGGGAAAACCAAGGTCCTCAAACACAACACGGAGAACAGCAATCCAATCACTCTTGATGGCGAAACTCTGGAAGACGTGGAGTCCTTCACATACCTGGGAAGCATCGTCGATAAACAAGGAGGTTCAGATGCAGACGTCAAGGCGAGGATTGGCAAAGCCAGAGCGGCATTCCTTCAACTGAAGAACATATGGAACTCAAAACAACTTTCAACTAATATCAAAGTCAGAATCTTCAATACGAACTTCAAGGCAGTTCTACTGTACGGAGCTGAAACTTGGAGAACTACAACAACCACCATCAAGAAGGTACAGGTATTTATCAATAGCTGTCTACGCATGATACTCAACATCCATTGGCCGGATACCATCAGCAACAGCCTTTTGTGGGAGAGAACCAACCAGCTTCCAGCTGAAGAGGAAATTAGGAAAAGACGATGGAAATGGATAGGACATACATTGAGGAAATCATCAAACTGCATTACGAGGCAATTGCTAACTTGGAATCCTGAAGGGAAGCGTAAAAGAGGAAGGCCAAAGAACACATTACGTCGGGAAATAGAAACAGATATGAAAAAGATGAATAAGAACTGGAAAGAGCTTGAAAGGATTGCCCAGGACAGGGTTGGATGGAGAATGCTGGTGAGCGGCCTATGCTCCTTCACGAGGAGTAACAGGCGTAAGTAAGTAATAATGTAAGCTAAAATAAAAGGCTATAAAAGACTCAACTACCATATTATTAATTATTTATAGTGAGGTACAGGCTTCTTTATTGAAGCCCATATTCAGCTTAAATTCAATCGCAACAATACATACTTTATTATCTTGTCAGTTCTTTACGTTAGCACCTTTCATTCTTCACTTCCAATCTCAATCATAAAATATACCGACAATTTTATTATGTGATACTGTCAAAATATAAGTAGATGGAATATGACTCGAATCTACATTCAAACGACAAATTCTTTAACTTTTAAGACATTAATGTTTCCAGTGAATTTTCGGAGCATTAAGTGTTTCTTCGGTTTATTAGAATTAATGGCATCTGTATTTACATTCTATTTTTTGTGTATTGAACAGTGAAGTTTAATTATTCAAACAAATAAATTATAGCTAATTAGGTTATAGTTTCAGAGCCCAATTCAATTCACTTTTAGTAATTAACTCAAAATTTATGTACACTGACTATCGAGTTATACTATGAGTGATTAGGTCAGCATTTATGGGTTAATTTTTACTCTATTAAAATCCTGTTCCTTGACTTTATTCATACATTTGATTATTTATATTTGTGTGGTGGAAAAAATACGTGTAAGTGGTAAAAAGATGTTCTAAACAGTAAATGGATAATGAGTTATTCTTAATAAATTGTTATTAAAGGCAATATATATCTTCTTCCTAACCTTGATTCATTACATACTGTGTATTGAAACGACACTTATTTTTATTCGATATGCAAAGGTTGCTCTAATGGATGCTCCTGGACATAAAGATTTTGTTCCACAAGTTATTGGCGGTGCGACTCAAGCTGATGCTGCTCTCTTAGTTATCAATGCTACTCGAGGTGAATTCGAAACTGGAATCGGTGCTGGAGGTCAGACAAGGGAACATGCTCGATTGGCTCGTTTATTAGGGGTTTCTCGTTTAATTGTCGCTGTAAACAAAATGGATACAGTAGAATGGTGTCAGTCACGATTCAATGAAATTCAGGCACAAATATCTAGTTTTTTAAAATCTATGAATTTTTCCGGAGTTGTGTATTGTCCAGTATCTGGGTTGGTCGGGGCTAACTTAGTACCTCGAAATTTGTTTAATAGCAGTAAAAATACTTCAGAGACAGGTTCTAACCTGTTTACGTGGTATACGGGACCCTCGTTACTCGAACTTATTGGTAAGTAGTGGTTCTGAAATTCTTTACCATTTATTGCTTCTGGAACTGATAGTGGTTTCATTTAAATGCTCTTGATATAATTAATCCCTCATTGTATTAGGTGTGACTAGTGTTCTTACAAACAATCTTGTTTCTAAGTCATTGTCGTCGTCATAATCAACATAGGACCTGTTTATCCTCCCTAGCTGTCACATTAAATCAACAGAAAAACTGATTTACAAGTATGTATCTATTTATGTTGTTTCATCTTTAGGCTGCAATATAATAATCAAACCTGTACAAAAACCATCTTGTCTGTTAGTTATTTTGAACACATAACTTACATTCACTTGATATCCACCATCTTAAAGGTGTCTGGCAGTTGCACTTGTGATGACTATACTCCGTTTCAGCTAGAGGTTTTTAGGAACGTGTTCGGAAAACCCAGTAAAATTCCTTCTTTCTCTCCTTCCTATGCACTTGCTATCGAAGATACATGTAAATTCACAGATGCACCTTGAAGGTTTTAAGTGCCTTATTATTATTATAACTATTATCATTATTATATAATGAGTATACTGGTATGTCGAAACTAAAAATCTCTCGCTTTTAAGAAAATTAGTGGGGGCGAAATACATATTTTGACGTTATATGGCTTATAAGTAAATTCCAAGTTTTATAACAGACCTTCTCTATTTTTATTCAGACGTTTTTCACTATCAAAACTCATTTATTGAGAAGATTAGTTTATGTTTATGTGTTTTACCAAGTCATAATTACTTACTCTCTCATAAACAATCACAGTTTTTGCAATTTTTGTTAAAAGTCATACGAAAGTCGACAGAATGACAATTCAAGACCCGTGATACTAATCATGATGAAGATATCAATGTTTTCGGGCATTTTTACGTCAGTGGGGATGCAATTTAGTTGACAGTTTACCTTTTGTATAAGAAAACGGTATGAATTATTACTAAATTATATCAGATAATTTTTGCATTTAGAGGAGTATGCTTTTTGTTGGGACGGCTTCCAGAAAGCGCAACGAGTCCTCTAGAGGTTCTAAAGGTGCCGAAGAGACTCCATCCAATCAGAAACTGATAGGACCTTCTAGAATAATAAAGTGGAATGCTATGGTTGAGCAATTGTATAAACTTTCTACTTGTAGATTGGCTGGATTATAATGATATAACCTATACCAAAAAGACTATAAATACCCTTGTTTCTTTACATTCCGTACACTTACACATAAACGTTTCCCTTGCCTTCCTTTCATTCGATTTACGACTATAAATGATAAGAATAAGTTTAAGTCAAGTATGATTACTAAGTTTATAGCTGATAAACTCAAATAAATTAAGTATTGCGTAGAATGTTAATGATAAAATGACGATGTATTTGTGATATCCTAATAGATAGAAATTATGAATTTTATGATATTTCATAACATATTGTAAGCTACTAATTTAATTCGGCCTGGCCCTACGTTGTAGCTGACTGATTAACTTAAAACTGACGTCATATGATTGTCTATATATCAAATGTTATTCATTGGCTTCCAAAACAATTTCATGGTTATAATATTAAGCTGGACTTTTCCTTTTTTATTTACTATTGTGAAAGTTTCATAAGTATCTTATTGATTTTCTTCAATTAGAAAGGTTAATTAAATAAATGATTTACATTTTCATATTATTCATTTAATTATAATATATTTTGACTAAATAATTTATTTATTTATTTATTTAGATTCAATTCCATCACCAGATAGAACTGTTGACGGACCTTTTCGTTTTGTTGTCAGTGATATATTTAAACCTGCTGGTTCCAGTGTACCAATGGTTGCTGGACGGGTTATATCTGGAGCTATTTCTAGTGGTGTAAATATACCTACAAGTAAGGTTATTTGTTTGCCAAGTGATGTACGAACTTGTGTAAAATCTATCAGATCATTATGTAATACTCGTACAGGTCAAAATGATGCTGAAGGTTAGTTTACAAAAGTGAATTGTTTCATATTCTTTCTATAAACATAACATTTGAGGTATATATATATATATATATATATATATATATATATATATGTATATATATATATATATATATATATATATATATATATATATATATATATATATATATATATATATATATATATATATATTAGAAGGATTCATTATTGTTTCTACTGTCAATCCAAAGATATAAATTATCTATCTATTGTTACCATATAAACTTGTTTTGTGAATATTTTATAACTTAATCTTCCAACCTATTTTATGAGTTTTGTTGTAGTATTTATGATTTAGAATTAAAATCATCAAGTTCATGAATCAGTGGAGTTTAATTTTTTCCAATGGTTAATAATCTGTTAAATAACAAGAACTAGAAATCCATTGTATTATCACTCATCACTCATCTCTTTAGAAGGTTAAACTTTATTTCAAAGTTAGATAAAATGTTCATTCCTGATTTTACTAATGGTTTCAATAATCTCAGAGTATTTATGGTATTAAACAGTGACATCATTTTTTGAATACAATCATATCATATAAATATCTTAATATTTCACATTTTCTTCTGTTATATATATATATATATATATATATATATTTATTTGAATACATAAATATTGGTGCAAAGGGGCACCAGATATATATGCATCACATAATAACTATAAGAATGGGAAGAGAAAAAAGAAGGTAAGGTTCGTATAAGGAAAAAAATGAACACTAACGATCACAGATTAGTGTGGGGTAGTGTAATAATAATGGGAGAAACGTCAAGGTACAATCAGAAGAAATCTTTCAGTTAAGGAAGATACAACCACTTTTTATAAAGAAAGTAAAAGAAGATTACAGCAGGATCGCCACTGGCTTCTATTCTGAGCCATATCTGATAACGTCTCTAGCCACTGTGCTGCACTATCTCTCGGACCCCAACCAGGGAGACGTGAAGGACCAACAGAAGCCAGCATTTTGCAGCTTTCTTTCATACCACGACACCATGTCATACACTGACCACCTCCGCTTTTTCCAACCAGTCCCAGAGTCGGCAAATAATGCATGACGTGGAATTCTCTGGGACGGCATTCGTAGAACATGTTCAAGCCAGCGATGTTGATATTTCAAGATGGTGATGCCAATTGGATTATCGTCTCTGTGCCCGAGCACACGATGCCGAGGTTCGACACTGTGTTAAGTTATAGTCAAGTTGTTTTATATCGATATTCTAGTCTGACGACTACCATAGGAATAAATTGGAAACGGATTTAGGGGTGGCTACATTAAAATATGGTATCATTCCTATGTAATCCGTTGACTATTGGACTGACCCATGTTATGTACAGATTTCAAGGTTAGTGTCTTCGAGATAATTGTAGCGTATTGTTAGCAGCGCATACATACCCATTAATAGTCTCCAGAAACATAGAAAAGGTTGGAAATATTCTATTCAATCCTGATTGAATAGAAGTTTCTCAGAAGCATTTAAAAGATAAAGTATTATTTACTACATCTTGGTCGGTTAGTTATTTATGTTGTTACCTTAGTATATCCTTAGAAGTTTCTACAAGATCAAGATCATCCGAAAACCTATAAACTCGATTTTTTGTACATAGTTTAATCTTCGAGTAAACCTTCTACTAATATTTTGCGTCGTAGTGTAGAATTAGTCTGGCGATATAGAAAACAGCTTAGGAAGTCAGTAACAAGTGTTTAAGTAAACTTATGATTAAAGATGTTATGTTTATTAATTAACGACATATGATAGTGTACTCAACAGATATAGTGTGTAAACAATAAATCAAATAATCATCGATGATGTGACTGATTATCATCAAATAAACTTAATAACCCACTTGTGTTTTTTGCCACTTGCACAAGCAAATGGCTATCAGCACTCAGTAGCTAAGTAGATAACGCGGTGACGTTTGAAGCGAATGGTACTGGGTTCGAATCCCAGAGTGGACATCAACTCTGAGGTGCAGATACATCTAGCTGACGAGTCCCGAATAGGACGAAAAGCGCGTCCTGGATTCCACTGTTAGCTACTATCCATCTTTGCTCATGGTGATAAAAATGGTTTTAATATTTCCATCTGTAATGTTATTCAAAATCCTTATGCTAGCTAACACTGCGTTTCAGGGAAAGCGGTTACTTTGACGTGCAATAAACATGCCTGATCACTATTCGTTTGTATATATGTCTTTCAGGTGACCTCGGAGGCAAATTGTTAGATCAAGTTGTTAAATTTGCATTTGCTGGTGATCAAGTGGCGTTGATGTTGACAGATATCGATCCATTTCAAACTCTTATTCCTGGTGATCTACTTACTGATCCAGACAATCCAATACAACCATCAACTTGTATTTCAGCTAAATTGTTAGTATTCTCTATACAGCAACCTATCACGAAAGGTTATCCTGTGAGTGTTATTGTTGTTAGTTTCGTTGGTTGTCGTTATTGTTTTTACTGTTCTATTTACCTTATGAATCTTGTCTCATTTATGTTAGTTGACTATTATTTAATTAACAATATCATTTCTAGTTGTTACTGTGTTTTTCTTGGATGAAACAACTTATTTTGTAAATAATATCATACTTCTCTTGTTATTGTGTTTTTCTGTTTGCATAGTGTTGAATGGTTTGTGAGATACGCTTACATTTCAACAGTCAATTTGTATTCTCCAATATTTTCTTCATATATAGTAGGATATTTTGTTTGTTAGTTTCTATAATTGATTTCACGTACTCGTTGATGGGTTTGATAAATATTATTTGATGAAACTGGGTGAGCAGTTGTTGTTTTGGAAGTTGATGCCTTACTTCGTTTCTCCGTATAATTGGTGTGCTACAATGTGTCGTCACTCTTTTGATTAGAAGTTGATTTTGCAAATTTTTCTATAGTTGTCATTATATTTAAGAATTTAATTTGTTTATGCGCTCTTTCGGTATATTTGAGCATCCGGTCATTCTATAATGGTTCTAGTTTTCAATATGATTAAATTATCTAGCTCAGTAAACGCAGTATTGCTGAAATCCTTTCTCCTGGTGATTTTGTGTTGCATTGAGTGTTCAAATAAAATAAAATAATAAAATATATATTACTATGTCAATAGGAATCCAGCAAAAAATGTTGCTTACAACTCACAACTTACGTTTGTTACCTCTCGTAGAGAACCATAGGCCGCCGATCAGGATTCTCCAACCAACACTGTCCTGGGTTCTCCTTTTTAGATTTGTCAAGTGCTATTTATTCCTTTGATATCTACCTCCAGTCCTCGTCACAATGTATTCCTTGGTATGCTTTACATTTTACCTTGAGGATTCCATGTCAGGAATTGCCTTGTGATGCAGTTCGATGCTTTCTGCAATATATATATATATACCTACCTTTAGTGTCTTTTCTTAATTTCCTCTTCGGCTGGAAGTTGATTTGCTTTATGCTATAGCATGTTGTTGTTTATAAATACTTGTACTTTTTCGATGACGTTTGCAGTAGTTCTTCAAGTTTCAGCTGCATACAGTTGAACTTTCTTAACGTTTATAATGAAAATTCTAACTTTGATGTTGGCTAACATAATAAAATAGAAATTTCATCTAAGGTATAACTATAATGAATTTCGATCATATTATTCAACAACATTGTAATAAAACCCACCTTATTTGAATCACCCTGTTATTATCGAGTAAAATGTAAAGGAATTTCTTTTTACTACTGATATGAATAGACAGTAGTTGCATGTAATCAAATAAAAAAAACACAATAATTCTTGGGTTGTATGAACAAATTAATTTCAAAGTATACCTTCTGTTATATTTAATAGGTTTTACTCTTTGTATGTAAGTGACAATATATAAAAGGTTATTATTGGTTAGTTTTAACTGTATTTTGGTATTCTAATTTGTACACATTAACAGTTAATATGTAGTTTTTATTCTAGAATTGTAAATTGAATATTCTCTATTTATCTCTCTTCAGGTTATATACTATTATAATTGTGCCAGTGTAGCAGCCACCATCACTAAATTAAAATCTATGACTCATCGAGAAAATAAAATGGAAAAAGTTGTTCGAAAACCAAGGTCAGCCAGTTTATTACTATCTTTCATATTAAAGCATATTATTCTGCAGATAGAATTCTATCACCATTATCTTTGATTATGGTTCTAAAGCTTTAAGATAACGTGTTTTTAAAGAATTTTTCAAGATATCATTAAACACTTTCTGGTCAGTTGTCTATTTGGTAATTATAACACAGTTGTGGTGTAGTGTATGTCACTTATGTCTATCGAATAAGTAGTATGTAATGCTAATCAGAAGTAGAATGCCCCAACAGAAGACAGTTGAGAAGATCGAATTGAAAAGAACGGGAGTGTAAAGTGAGGGTGATTTTAATAGCAATAAAAAAAACGAGGGAGTTTGAGACATTTGATGGATGATTTGCAAATGAAGTATTTAATGTATAGTTTTTCATATTTTACGAAAGAACCCTGTAATTTTGCATTAAATACTTAAATTTGTTTTCCCATCTGAGTTCTTATTCACTAAAGTAGTAGCTTAAGCACTTAACTTTGATAAAAGTTGGTACAGATTTATGGTCTTTTATATCTACTTCAGTTTATACCATTTAGTTGTCTCATCTCTATTCTATACAAGATTAGGGTATTCAATGCCTGAAATAGAAGTATGTACTTCCATCCTCCTGAATTACCATAACATCTACCAATATCTTCAAAACATTCTTTTTAACAGTGTGCCACATTATACACTGAATTAATGTGCATATTAATTGAATTCCATCAAACCTATTTAGTTAGCAATTGGTTTGTTAAGTTTTCTAAAAGTAACAACTATCTTTCACTTGTACATATGATAGATATACTACTGATCTAATCATATTAAAAGCAAGAATTCTAGTCTATGGACTTGTCGAATAAATTGTGATTCGGTAACATGACTGGTATCACTTCTACCCGAGTGTACAAACATCCCCCAGGTAAAATGACACTCAGATATTTTTAGCCTCTCATATATATATATATAACAAGGAGGAAAATAGCTGTTTCTGTATGAATGAACATTAACGTTTTCAATGACGAATAAGGTGATGGCAAGTGTCAAAACTTTAACAAGAAATACATTGTGACAAAGCAACAGTTATTAGTATGAGATAAATTAGTTTCGGGTAAAATAGGTTAAAATGTTTTGTAAGGAGATTTGTATAGTTTGAAAAAGATTTTCATCTAATTAATGTATCGGTAATACATGGAACGTTGAACATTTTCACACACGTACGAGACCCTTTGTTACTAGTAAATTTAAGGACTCGATTCAAATTCGAAACAGGTTTCTTAAAATCTATTGAGTACCAGCTATGGCTTCCAAAAGCTCTGGTAAGGTCAAGAGTAGGGAGAGTCAACTCTTCCTCGCGAAATGCTCTCACATGGCCATGCGTATACAGCCACTGCCACGGAAGTCGTACCGTCTTCTCGCGGCAGTGGTGTTTACGGAATTGAGATGACAGAAAGCAAATGTCCGGTGCTTTAATCGGGTTGGTGAATTTAGAGGATCCATCTAGGGCAGTCGAAAGACCCTTATTCCGAACCAGTGGTGCACATGAGTTCCAGTATCCTGAAGGAACAAAAGGCGCGTGAACTTACAGTTGGTCGCCGACCACTATGGGACTGCATCCCCTGAGGTCGCTGCACTGCCTTGTGGGTTAGACCTAAAAGTAAATGGACCGGGGAGCGGCCCCCTAAAAAAGCTACCCGCTTCGGTTTTGCACTCGAGCAGTATCCCATCGCTCATACAAATTGAATGATTCGTGTTGCGTATATGTAATCGGTCCCTCCTTGTAACAATGTGTTTAAATAAATAACCAGATACGACTAGTAAACCTAAGAATAAGCCAGTAATTCACGAATAATACCGATATCGTGTTTTAAAATGTAAAATATTGTATTTCATCTTGTCGGTCTAAATTTTTCATGTTTGCTGCAATACCGATATGTTTAGTTCTGTGAAGAATCTTAGGCGTGCATGCTTCTAAAGAGCCCTGCACAGGTAGGTCCTCTTAAAAAACATAAAGTACGCCTTAGTTAATGTATTTGGTCAACAATAGAATTGTTATGACATTATGTTGTCTGAGATTTTGTTGTGTAATGTGCTTGAAAAATTCACAAATTTTTAGTGAATATTTATCTAAATATTACTTTGTTTGTATTTATTTCTTTATTTTTTAGATGTCTTCTTGGTAATTGTACAGCAAATGTAGAGTTGACATTTGAAAGACCAATTTGTATAGAAGTTTATGAAAAATGTAAACCTCTAGGACGATTTATGCTTCGTGTTGGCGGTGAATCAATTGCTGGTGGTACTGTAACTAAGGTAAGTGGAAAATATTTATTTAATACTTATAGAATCTATCTTAAATCCTCAGAGTAATCATTAGTAGCAGAACTATACATTATTCAAAGTGAAGTGTATTGGATTATCCGGTTGTTGATATTTTGACTGAAATTCGATCACTTTACTTGGCTTATATGCATCCTGTGCGGATTGTGTCGATATATTCATTATGACACCATTTGTTCCTTCAGGATACTGGAGCACATGTACACCATTGGTTTGGGATCAGGGTTTTCCAACTCCCATAGGTGAATCCTCTATATCCACCAACCCGGTCTAGGCGCTGGACACTCACTTTTTGTCCTCTCAATTTCGTAAACAACAGTAATGCCGCGAGAAGGCAGTGAGTAGAATTTATCTGACAGTGGCCATGTGAGAGCATTTCGAGAGGGAGAGGTGAATCTCCCTACTCTCGGTCGTACCAGGGCATTTAGGAATAGAGTCAGTTAGTCATCTACAACGTAGAACTAGCCACACCTCATTAACACAACAAGATGAACACCAAATTCATAGAAGCAGTTACTTCTATGGTAGTAATATATAAATGAAGGATTGTGTAAATAAGGATATAGTACAGGAAGAAAGAATTAGTTCATAGAAAAAAAAAGATATGAAGCTATTTTAATCTCATAGATTAAGGAAACACAGAGAGTGTATACACGCACACTATTGTGAATGATCGATTCTGAGCTATGTCACCAAGAGTCTCCAACCATTGGTTACGATAGTCATACAAACCGAAAACAAATGGTCTGCATCGATCAACATGGCTCACACCAGGAGTTAGTGACTTTATGGACTGATGCGTGTATACATCCACACCATTGTGATCGATTTTGAGCCATGTCACCCACAGTCTCTAACCATTACTTACGATAGTTACGCGGATTCCAACCAAGTAATCAATACTGCTCTATGATTATTTGATTGGTAATTTAATATACATTAAAATAGTTTACTTGTTATTTCATATACAAATCATTATTTATTACAATAAATACCATGTCTATTATTAATACTTATCTATTTATCTCTATGTATAGTTAATTCCATTAAAAAAGGAATCATCTAATTGATCTGTAGTAAAAATAACAACAAAATAATTAAATAAATGATATATTTTGAAGAGAAGAAAAAGAAATGATTCACATGGATTGTTTTATTATTGAACATTTAATGCCAGAATGTCTTTCATTATTCATTGTTGGAAATGGACTATTATTATAAATATTTAATAGTCTTTATTATTTATATATAGGAGAATTTCAATACTTTTTTTCTTAACGGTTTACTGTCCATTTATCTTTTAGTCTTACATTAATGATACTATTTCAATTGTAATGTAAATGTTAATGGTGTATGTTATTGTAAAAACAAAAAAAAATTAAAATTTTATTCTATTTATAGTTCGAATGATATGAAATTTGTCTTTTTTGGAAGATATATTCCCCCCGCCCCAACTACATAATCTTAACCATTTATACATTGGTATTGACTCAAGGGATATATATATCAGTATGGGGGGTTTGTAGATATTGTAGTATTTTTACACTTGACATTAACACCATTGGATGACAGCTCAGTGGTCCATAGGCAAACCGTCCACACGTATGGTCCTGGGTTCGAGACTGGCTCAGAGACCGTAGATGTACACTGCTGATGAATGTCATACCAGGACGAAACGACCATCCAGTGCTTCCAAGTTTTCAATGGTAGTTTACCTTATACTGACTCATGAATCCAACTGTATATATAAATGCAACTTCATTCTTTTAACAAGTCAGTGTTATTTTTCGTTTAAAAAATTAAGTTAAAAGAAAGTTAGTTATTAATAATATACAATGTGTATCGACTTAAACTATTACAGTTTTTATATATGCTATTCACTTTATTGTCTATGATTCAATAGCTGACTGACTTTACATAATTAATCAATTTAAATCATTGGAAATAATTAAAACTTTAAGAATTACAGAGTATAAAAAATTATTTAATGAGTAGAAAATAAATCCTATTACAAGTAAATCGAATGAACATTTAAACAAGCTTATAAGCTTGTGTTCTATTACAGTATATAATTAATTATTGAGATATTTTAATGTAACAAAAAATAATATACAGAAAAGACGATAAGTAGATTGGTACGATTGATAGTCACCAAATGCACTGATTCGGCGAAATGTGGGGAGTTTCCTCTTGAAAATGCTTTCATATGGCCACGTGTATATAGCGAATACCAGGGAAGTCCTACGAACTGCCTTTGCTCGGTGGGGTTGTTTGCGAAATTGAAAGGATAAACGTTCTGCGCCTAGACCAAGTAATTTAGGGAGATCGATTATGAATACAGTGATCTTGAGTGCTGTTACAGGTATGAGGACAGTTATCACTTCCCGGTTGCCCACACCATGGAAGGGTTCTTCTACAGATACCTGAGAAAATTGGGTGGAGGGTGATCTTAGTGACCTGAAAGTGTGACCGTAGTGCCCAAGAGACTACCTGAGGTCGGTCACATATGACCTTTCTGTGAGTAGTTTCCGTGTTAGATCCGTACTTGTTGAGACCTTACCGCCGGAGACGGATATACATGGGATAAGGCGGAGTGTGCATTTCTAGAGTCGAAATCTTCTAACCCCAACTCCTTGTGGGAAGGCAGCACCGCTGTTATGCTGGTTGTCTGTAGGGAATACCTTACTGCCATCACACCTGTTCAGTCAACAGTAAGACTTCGCCCTCAGACCTTGGGTTCGCTACTTTTATTTTTAGCGCTCTCTGGCATTGGAGGACGATTGTTCCAGCCAGTATAACTCGATTGTTTCTTTAGGATAGGCAAGCCCAACCACCGCGTCAAGGTAGCAGCAGCTGACAGGACCTGTTTGGTGAATATGGAGGATCCACCTAGGGGAGTTGGAAAACCCTGAATCCAAACCAATGGTGCACATGAGCTCGGCGATCTTGAGGGGAAAAGTGGTTTGTAAACTCATTGCCGGTCACCGGCTACCATGGGAATGCATCTCCTGACGTTGCTCTACCATTTTGTGGATTAGACCTCTGGGTCAAAAACTCATGGAGTGTACCCCTAAGGAAACTACCTGTGTGGGGAAGTAAGCGTCTTCGTTCTTAATGATCTTTAAACATCGATAATGTGTATTGAACAATGAGGAGTTATCTCTAAACTGTTGGCTTAATGACTGAACAGTATCAGAAAACGAGCGATCAGGTGTATTCAGAGGCGAAATCAAATTGTCGTAACTACCTAACTTACTTGGACCGAATTATCGAAGTATCAAGAGAACCTTTCAAGCATTTTGATTGACAAAATCTAATTCAAATAGGTTCTCATAACGACGGGACCACATATCAAATGTGACATTAGCACAGGGATCGTAGTGAAATTAGGCAATACTGTGATGCCGTCGTTCTAGGGTGCGGTAGTAGAATTTGATGTGTGAGAGAGGCTTAGTTATCGTATCTGTTAATATTTATATATTGGCTACTCTGTGTAATGCATTTAATTCCCATGGCCTTTTGTACTAATAAATGGTAAATAAACAAACGCGATTGATTTTGGTTGGTTGGCATTTATATGGTAAACAGCAGTGTTTCACCGAGAACATTTCTGTAGATTACGCTTGCTACTGTTCGAGTTGCCGATCGCTGGAACATGGTACTAGGCAAATCAGTTAAATTTGAGGATCTTTATTGACTAAAATATTTTGAGTAAGTGTTACGTGTGTCTAATTAAACAAAAGATACTTGCTGGTATAGAAATCAATTAAAAAACTAGATATGGTCAACACAGAATGCAGCATCAGTTCATGAATAATGCGGGCTGATTCGGTGTACATAGATGCACACTAATTGATTGAAAGAACGTTAGGTAATAACTCTTTTGACAGAGCCTATTCTTTTCTTGTTACTTGAGTGCAATTGAAACAATACTAAATTGTCTTTAGTTTTATCTATTCCTAAATTAGACCCTTCCAGTATTGATAATGTTTCTGAAATACTACTCTTAACATGAAACGTAAAACAACTTATTATACAATTCTCTTATTCATCTTTGCTATTTGATTGAAGAGTTCTAAACATTCAAGGAATCGATTTTTCAAGAAAATTGATTTTCGTTTACTCCTAATTTTATAAAATATATTTTTATTCAAATCAACCATTCCGATTTAACTACTTAAAGAGTTAATGAAGATAGCGAATGTCCGGCGCTTTAACCGGACCCCAAATCAATGGTGCACATGGGCTCCAGTATCCTGAAGGAACAAATGGCGTATGAACCAATCGTTGGTCACCGGCTACCATGGGACTGCATCTCCTCACGATGCACCACTGCCTTGTGGGTCAGACGTTCAGGTCAAAGGCTCGGGGTGTGGCCCCCTAAGAAAACCACCTGCTTCGGTTTGGGCACCCGAGCAGTATCACAGCCCTCACACAAATCAATTGAGATTTGTGTGGCGCATATGTATTTGGTGCCTCCCTGTACCTATACTTATGTGTTAAAATAAATAAAAAATTTGTCTATTATCCCTTATTGAGAGCAATAGGAATTGTATACAGAAGAGTTATATTATTCCAACATAAGTATATATATAGTTAGTGTGTGCTCAATTACATAACTCTCTTTAAATAGAACATAGTACGAATCTAATAGATATAAAACTATTAAATGCTAATGAAAAATATATTTTACAAAATATAAGCGTATCATAAACTAATCATCTATGTATAATATTCTATCTAAACAGAAAAATTAAGATTGTTCTTTCTGTTTTTTTAAAGTCATAAATAATAAGATATAAAGAGAAATATATTATTCAGTAAATATGTATCAAATATATACTCTATTGGATAATCTATCTTTCTATAAAATGTTTATGTTCTCTTTTCTTCTTAACCAACTTCACGGTTTGGTCCACTTTGATTCCAATATACTTTTGAACGCATTTCATATAATCTGGATAATGTTCTAGAATAAGCAAACAGATCTTCATCACCTGTAAATATTGATGCTTTCATATTTGTTGGATGATCCTAGAATTGTCAAGAAGATAATTGTATTAAAACAATGATAACACATTAAAAAAAAAACATTACGATAATAGTTTAAAATAAACATCTTCACCTTATCTGTAACCAATAAATTTTAGAATACTAGTTCAATTCAAGGTAAAGAATATGCACTACTACGATTGATTTTGAGCGATATCAAGTTTATTTATTTAAATACATAAATATTGGTACAAGGAGGCACCGAATGCATATGCGCTACACAAATCATTCGATTTGTATGGGGTCTTGGATAATGTCCGGGCGTCCAAACCGAAGCGGGTGGTTTTCTTAGGACACTACTCCCCGAGCCTTTGACCTATAGGTCTAATCCATAAGGCAGTGGAACAATATCAGGGGATATAGTCCTATGGTAGGCGGTGACCAACAATACGTTCATACGCCTTTTGTTCCCTCAGGATCCTGGAGCTCATGTACACCATTAGTTTGGAATGGGGTTTGTAGTGTCTGTCATTATGTTAAGCCCAAATACCTTATTATTCTAACTTTCGGACAGCTCATTCTATTTGAGTCACATTCTCACCTTGTTAATTATTCGCTTATCAATGTCTTGACTGTCTTTGTATGAGCGCGTAGGCGTATGCACACTTCTTATCCCGTTACTCATCACATGTCTGTAATTTATTTTTGTGGGCTTATAAATATTGATTAACTCTTTGTTAAAGGGGGAGTTGGCTTACCAGCCATGTTCACCGCTCGTCAATTTTGCTTCGCTTTCTCATCTTCGCATCGTTCCTCCGTTTGTTCGTCTAATCAACAATTATACGAAATATATGCATTCAAAACTCCATTCTCGTTATTTGACTTATTTAATTCCGTTATTAACTAACGCGATTTAAGTCAATGATTATATACGAGGATAGACGATAGCAACCAATCATTACGATCAAATTGGAGTCAGATCACGGGCCACTAAAATGGTGATCCCGTCACCACAAGCGAACACATCAGGCTACTAAAGGTTTCCCATCTGCCATAGGTGGATCCTCTGGATTTACCAGCCCAGTTAAAGCGCCGGACATTCGGTTTTCATCCTCTCGACTTCGTAAATAACAACCCACTGCGAGAAAGCAATGAGTAGGAGTTCCCTGGTAGTGACTGTATACATATGGCCATGTGAAAGCATTTCGAGAGCTGACTCTCCTTACCTTCGGTCGTACTAGGGCATTTAGGGGCCGATACAGTTGTACGAATCGCAATCACAAAGTCTACCCATTTCTTTAAACTGACATTATATGAGCGTATCGATTTATATATGGTTTACGCCCGTGATTTGACTTTAATATGATCAAACCGCTAATGCCGAAGACAAAATATCCTACATACGTCATTTATGTCCTATAGATAAATCCCGTTAATAGCAACGCGGAGTCAAATACGTGTTTGAAGCATCAATATAACTCATATATACTATGGCAAGAAGACAAGTGTTGGGCAGAATAAGTGTACAGACACACACACAAACACACGTGAGGCGTACAAGCTTGTAAATACAATAACGTAAATATACTGGATGTCACAATTTTCAATAAAAAGAGTAGAACTACTAGGTTGGTAAAGAAGACTCAATAATCACAAGCTGTCTGAGTCGATCGAAAAATCAGAATCAATCATGTAGGTGTATAATTAACACAAAAGCTGCTACGTTCCAATTATCCTTTAAATGTTAGTGTAACCATTGCAAAGCAACATATCTAGTACTTAAGTATGCGTAGAACATCATCATATGAACTAAAATACGAAAACCAACTAAAATTTCCAAAAATACGTAGCTTGTTTTTTTTATTTTAAAGAATCAGAATGAATAAATGCGTTTACAATTTTGATGGAGTTTTATTCTCTTAAACTTCTACCTGAAGTTTGTGCTAATGATATCATTCACAATAACGATAAAAGCTCCACGGCCAAACCATCTAACTAAGATAATAAAACTCCATCAAAATCATCCATTTGAGCAACAAATCTTCTCCACTATCTCAGCGTTTAATATAGAAGTACATATAAGTTGCCTTCAAAAAAAGGATGGATAAATAGTCATTAAAACTTATAATGTTACCATTACATAACGATACAATTTCTCTATCATAAACATACCATGTTCATTTTTAAATCATCCATTAATTGACGATGATTAAATTGTAATTCAATAGAAGATGTATTACTTTTAGATAATAATAAATTTTCAAGTGAACAATTAGCACCAATAATAAGACGAGTACGTGTATCATATAGAACATCAATTAAATGTGTAAAACGTTTTAAACTTGGTAAATTATGCATTCCCATTTGTGGTACATTACATAAAATAATTGTATGAAAACGTTTAGCTAAACTCATATAATCAGCGGCACCTAAAGGCTTTTTATGGATAGAAATAAGAAAACAATATAATATCATATATATATATATATATATATATATATATATATATATATATATATATATATATATATCACTATGGAGGGTTTTACAATTCTTTCTTAGTACAACCCAGCCATTCCTATTGCTTAGTACTCTAGAACACTAATTCACTCGATAAGTCCCCAAATCAAAACAGGAAAGAGATTATATTCTAAATAACAAGGTGAAATGGAAGTATGAAGCAAAATAAGAAAAACGTTAGTGTATTTCTCTAGTTTTAACATGAGAGTGTTCTCCAAGTATCGAGTAGCGCTGATTGGATAAGAATTAGCCAATCAGCATTCACCAACACAATCGTACACGAAACGTGTTTTAATCTGATCTATGTCCAGTTAACAGGAAGAATTTATGGAGATTATATTATTTTCATAGTTGAATTCATCACATATCAATGTAAGGAGTCCCATACAAGGACGAAACGGCTGTCCAATGCTTCGATGTGTTCACCAGTGATTTAACTTAAATTCAACAGTGAAAATATCAGTTTTCATTATGTATTGAAATTAACTCTACGGTTAAAATTTATTGAATAATGAAAATTCCCTATTTGATCTTTAGTAAAAAGAACAATTAAAGCAAAGAAACTTCTTTTCAATTAGTTTCTTTTTATTGTAGCTTTACACTTTACAAATCAAAGGTTTTCATTTAAAAGAAGCTTGTACAACCATTCTCACTAACTTTGTCATTGGTATAGGAATGTTTTTAGCTGGATTTTAAGTAATCCCTTTTATTTCAAAAATATTAAAACAACGTTCTAATTTAAATTCACTTGGTATTGTTTACTTGAATTTACCCATTGATGTTTAGGACTGCCATTGATTAGTCTCTTATTGGCATATGTGCATATTGTGCGTATTGCCTCGATATTGTCTTAATTTACAAGCATTATAAGCAAAGATGGATAGTGGCTAGTATTGGAATCCAGGACGCGACTCCCAGAGTGAACATCAACTCTGAGATGCAGATACATTCAACTGATGAGTCCCATATAGGATTCCGCTGCTAATCACTATCCATCTTTGCTTATAATTTTCTAATTTGTTTCACTTTCGTAATTTCCCATATTCTCAGTATTCATCTCTTGATTCTTACATAACTAATATAATATTGAACTTGCATCAAAATATTTCGTTAGTTCTTTTTATTGATTATGCAACGTTACAAGATGTTTATATAATATGAATATATAGCCTTCCATTATGTAACTGAGTTTTGCCATGTGTTCTGCAATCCAAACAACCTTCGGTTCTACTCTCCAAGTGTTCCGGCCTACACCGTGCTTTTAATGAACTGAAGCTCTTCTCTCCGCCTGTGACAATTTCGATATCACGTCCCACTAAATACTACTTACAATCCATCTTATTAGTAGTATACTTTTTTGTATATTTTACCTGTGCGCTAATATTTTTTTACCAGATTATTTTTTGTTATTAAAATCTTCCAAATACATTCGATTTACATCCGAGTATGATTTGAGACCAGACAAGTTAAGTAATGCATCTAAATATTATAAAGCAGTAAGAAAATAAAATTAAGGTATACAGGACAGGAAGTTGTTGCAGCTTACGAGATAACACATCCGACTTTCAGTCATTTAGTCGCATGTTTGAACCTTGTTGCAACTACATTCGGCATGGTATCACACATAGTATGTATATCGAAACCAAAGTACACGGATCTATATCAAGTGATTGAATTGAATAAACAAGCTTTTTGTTTACTATTTCAAAAATCAAGATCTCAAATGATTCATCAAGCTAGAGAACATATTCTTTTTAATCGACTCTAGTCTGATAGGCCTTTTTCTTATTAAGCGAAATAAAACAATATCACTTAACATATGAGAAAAAAGTTCTCATCACCTTACCACATAGCACAACTCAGCAAATGTACATTTTAAAATATTTCCACCAGTTTGTTTAAAGGTAACTACACGTCCATATGTTGAAATTGCTCCAATTACTGGTGGGCCAACTATTTAGAAAACAAAAAAAATTGTTCAAAATAGAAACAAAAAAAGAACAATATTATAATAATCACTAAAGGTATTTTTAATTTCAATATAGTTTTAGTCAAAGATTAAAAAATTAGTAAGTATGCAATTAGTTCCATGTTAGTTTAAGACCCAAGATGCCCTGGTACGGCCGAGAGTAGGGAGAGTCAGCTCTCCCTCACGATGCTCTCATATGGCCATGTGCATACAACCACTATCATGGAAGTCCTACTCACTAACTTCTCGTGGCATTACTGTTGATAACAAAATTGAGAGGACGAAAAGCTTTAACTGGGTTGGTGGACATTGAAAGTCCACATACGGGAGTTGGAAAATCCTCATTTCAAACCAATGGTGTACATGGGCTCCCATATCCTGAAGGAACAAATGGCGTATAAACCTATTGTTGGTCACTGGATATCATGGAACTGCATCTCCTTACGATGCTCCACTGTCTTGTAGATCAGACGTTCAGGTTGAAGGCTCCGTGTGTGGCCCCCTAAGAGAACCACCTGCTTCGATCTGGGCACCTGGGCAGTATCCTAACCGTCACACAAATCGAATGATTTATGTGGCGCATTTTTTTTGGTGCCTCCTTGTACCAATGTGTTTGTGTTTAAATAAACAATCAAAATTCAGTACAGAATTACATCAACAAATACTCAATGCTTTTTAACAATTTTACAAATCGTATAAGAATTTCAAACAATTTTCTTTATAAACATTTGATTAAACTTAATCTTAATGAATAAATACTATACATGTTTGAATCACTATCTGTATGACAGGTGATATGTTATTTCTATCAACTGACAAACGAATATAACATGTAACAATTTGTTCTGGTTTACTTTACACATGTAAAAACTTAATTTTAAGAAAAGAGAACACATGTAGATTATTAGTATTTCATCATAGATATCTTTAAAATATTGTGCGTATAGGATGGAACCATCAAATAATAATTCCTTTGACAGCCTATTGAATATCTGGACTACCTATTCCTACCATCTAGATATTTCAACAAGTTATCTAATTTTGTTTAATACATCACTATGGCAATTAACCGCGCAACCTATTCAGGTGCGTTTATGACATTTCGCTGTAGAAGTTACAAAAAAGCTCAATCAAATACATCTTGGTTGCTGGTAATGTGTAACGAAAAGAAGGAACATTATTTAGATTTTGATTCCTGAACTGCTAATATCTAACTGGCAATCACTCAATACTTATCGCTAAGAATTCTATTTCGTACCAAAAATATAATACTGATTAAAGCCACTAATAATAATAATAATAATAATAATAATAATAATAATAATAATAATAATAAAGGCTAGTATAAGACTTATAGTGATAGGAAGGCTTAACAACTTTTTACGATCTTAACAAAATTGCATCATCTCTTTTTTCTTATCTGATTTTCTAGAAAATTATGAAAATAAATCAATACTAAAACTGTGATGTGTGCTACTGATGTCGATAGATATAAATAGTATGTATCATCAATCGAAAGTGGAATGCCTAGCAGCAGAAGGTTATAATCAAAGGAAAGAGAACGAAAACAGAGAATGATTGCTGTAAAAATGAAGAAACAGTGAAATCCAAGACGATTAATTGACATTTACAAAAGAAACAGTCAAGTTTGAGATCATTTATTGACATTTTGCAAATGATGTATTTACTGTATGCTCAATAATTTTGTAATTGATTGTCCTCAATTGTGTTCTCGTTCACTACAAAACTACTTATATTGAATAATACATAATTTATGCTGAAAATCCTAAATATTGTACTAAACTTATAATACTGAATAAAATCTATTATGATTAATAAACTGTTTAAAAAAATATTGGAAAATGTAAATGGATTGGTTGAGGTTAGACATTAACACCGTTGGATGCCGACTCATTGATCTAGAGGTTAAGTGTTCGCGCGCGAGTCTGAAGGCCTTGGGTTCGAATTCCGCGGACGGGATCGTGAGTGCGTACCGCTGAGTAGTCCCACAATAGGACGAAACGGCCGTCCAGTGCTTTCAGGTTTTTAATGGTGGTCTAACATTAATCAGTTCATGATCTTAATCAAGTAAATAGAATTAATCGCTACATTAGAAACAAGTTGCCTTTTTAATAATTAACACTTCTTATTGACGATATTTAATGAATGGAATTATTTTATTGTAACTCATAATTAAATTGCTTTTTTGTATTCGTCTAATGCATTAATACTTACCATGTCCATCTTCAGTTGTTAATTTTGTAAACCATTTTTCAAGTTGATTATTTACATCATCATTTCCAGTTGAATAACTTGTTGTTGAAAGAATAAATAGAATAGACAGAATTAAAGTATTTAAGAGTAATAACATAATGAAATAATCACAAGTTTGTTTTTAGTTTTGATCAACTAAACATTTCAAACACCGTATTGAGATGAGGGAGGAAATTTGTAGCTCAGATGGATAATTTTGGTGAAGTTTTGTTCTCTGAGCTAAATGGTTTAGTCGTGGAACTTTCATCGTTATTCCGAATGATATTATCAACACAAACTTCACGTTGACCTTTAACCAATCAAGATCGAGGTTTACAGGACAAGCTGCGAATCATATGTGAAGAAATCCGAACACTTCACTTTTACTTGAAGTTTGCGCTGATGATAGCATTCACAATAACGATGAAAGCTCCACGACCAAACAATTCAGCTCAGAGAACAAAACTCCACCAAACACCGCATAGATGAAGCTATATGCCTTCATCGAATTAGGTGATCAGAATATATTTGACGTCGGCCTAACAACTATATACTAACAGATAGAATGCTGACTAATAGAGAAGTAGGCTGGAGTCAAACTAGGGTAGTCAGAGTAATATATATGGGATCAATCAATGAAATTATTAACTTCAAGTTTGAACTGTGTTAGGAAGACGTAAGTTTCCCAGTTAGGACACGTATGTTATTCGTAACCAATGATTGAAAACGTTGGATGAACAAACTTAAAATAAGTTGAAGTGAAAAAATTGTATTGACCCTAAATTTCCTTAAATATTGGACTTGACGTCATTCAATACTTGTTCCTTTTGAACTGTATATAATAAGAAGTGAACAAAACATTTTCTTCATAATCATCACATTAATGAGTGAACCAGGATGCCCATACTGAGGTAGATGGTCAGGTCTTGGGCCTTAGAAAAGAGAGTTTAATCGATGAAGTAGTGGATCTACATCAGGAGGTGCAGTCCCAAAGTAAAAAGTGACTGAAGTAGGTTTATACTCCACTCGTCTCCTGACGACCGTTGATTTAGAATCAGCATTTCCTCACTTCTCTAAGTAAACCCCTCGCATCCACCGAAACCTGTTTGATAGCCTGACGTTCGCTTTACGTCCTCTCACATTCGTATCGAAAAGAACATCTCTCTACGTGAAATAAGTGAGTAGGAATTTCATGGCAGAAATAACAAATGCGTTTTTTAACCATGATCATGATACTTAACGTTCTACAATAATGAATATTATATCCCTTTTCTATCCTTTTCATTCTGTTACTTTTCTTTCACACTGTACTGATATAAAGCGTGGTAACTTAGTTTTGTGTTACCTATATCTAACTAATTATAGATACAAATGTTATCAGATATTATTAATTGATTTTTATTTTCAGTGGACTTACTCCAGATAAAGGGGAAGATCTGATTCTTTGAATGATGTTTCACTTATTTTTGTACGGTAATCCACACCAGAATCCAAGTTGACTATATGACACTTTTCCTAGAATGGAAGAATAAATCGGGGCAAGTTTGTGTAATTGACTTGAAATCAATTTTGTTTTGTTATACTAAACAGATGTTTAGGAATTCAGTAGTTAGCTTGTTTCCAACCTTTCGAAAAACTATGAAAAAGAGGGTTGAATATTTAAAATAATAAGCTTCATGTGTACACTGCAATCAGAATGAGAAACTAATCGCATGAACTTCTCCTGATTAGTTAGCAAATATGATTAAAACAAAACTTTTATGACATTGTCTGAAAACCAGGAAAGTTAGAATACATTAATCAAAAACGGCATACAATTGGAATGATAATATAGATCAAACAATTAACCTGATCATTTGACTATGTAGTGATAGATGGAACGATGCCTTTTTGGTAAATAATGAGATGAAATTCGATACATAAAACAATATCCAAAATACATATGGAGGGAATAAAGTGCATATTAGTTGCAAGACCTCAAATGAAAGCTATCTTTATTATTTTTGAATACAACAACTTCGACTTATCGATTGCACGATGTAATTCATTTATCAAGTAAAGATTTATATACTTGGTATTGAGCCACAGAGTATTTTTGTGGGGATTACTGAATGACACTAGCCAAGTGGGTTATGGAAATAGATGAGATGAGGTTCGAACCTATGATATATTGGCTAAAAGTCATGATTTAACCATAAGACATGTCAGAGAAAGAGCAAAGAGAACAAAAGACCATTGAAATCAATCACATTCCCAAACATTACCATAAAACAAAGTTGGTAAGATATAGATACAGAAAAATATCGTGGATTGGTTGAAGTTATATATAACCATCAATTAATAATGATCGGTGTCATGTTTGTTTAATTCTTTAATGATAACCGAACCCTATTGATCAAGTTGCAATGTTTTCACTAGTTTAAGTGATCAATCATTGTAAATATCCCAGCCTTACAAGAGGTTAATCGTGACCCAAATAGTTCAATAATGATATTTCAAATTAAGAATTTGGGAAATGGAGATTCAGATTCCAAAGGATGCATCAATTTCCTGAAGACTTTAGGTAAGCCACTATGAGGATTGCCGACTAGTATGAAAAATAAATCTACGATTTCCCTTTGACTACCTCCAACCAACTAACATCAAAAAAGTTTAGCGTTTCGTAAGGAATGATAAATTCAATGGGTTTATAAGCGAAAAGGTATAGATTCAAAAATTATTTCCGAGTGATATTAACCAAGAACTTTTTTAAAATAAATTGAAAAAGATCACCAAGCCATTGAGCTTAGTTATTTAGAATTTGACAAAATGTAAAATAAATCCAGTCAGCGCTAACAACTAATAAATTCAATGAATATTTAATTATCTGATATCATACCATAGCAATTTTATCGTTTTTATTTAATTTTATGTTTTATATATAATTACATAATTTCACTGTGTAACAAGGACCTTGTTTACTGAGCTCAGTTTTTTAATATTAGTTCACTTTAAGATAAGTTTACGCGTTAATAATTGAATATTCGCGAACAATAGTAACTAGGCTACATTAATTCAAGGGATCCATTATACGGACATAAGTACATACTATCCATATATATATATATCGATTTATAGTTTTTCAGTTTATACACATGTGTATATAACAACTTACTTTAAGAAGACCTATAAAAGGTACAAAGTTTACACGTTGTAATCCGTTCTTGTACAGATCTAGAACAAACAAAAGTATTCAATATGTAAGTAAGAATTTAGAAAAATATCCTTTTGTTTATTTTGACATTTATCAGTAAAAATTGAATACAATTATAATCATGGTAACATTATAGAAGGAAAAAAAAATGAAACTATGAATTATAATTGAGTACATTAGAATTGTCAACTTTCGATGATATTCATCATAGATGTTCTTCTAGAAATTATAATCTTTTCAACGACTGGATATTCTACCAGAACTTTCATCTATGGACATAGTCAAGTGACAATATTTTCATTAAGGTAACTTATTTAGAATTTGTTATATATAGAGCTTAGATTCTTAATGTATGTATGTAGATTCTTAACGTATAACTTGAGCACTCGAACGCTTAAACACTCCAAAGTCGCAAATGAAAAGATAGAAGACAAGTGAAAAGAATGTTATTCCAAAAACAGTGTCAATTATGGTACAAAACTGTCAGCTATTTATAGATTTTAGTAAAAACGAATTTATCATTATAGTTATTCAATCCTCACACGAGGAGTTATTAGCATTTGTCCAATAAGGAAGCTACACGGTAGGGATTCTGGAATATTCTTCCAAAAGATGATTGGATGGAATATCTTCGGCTCTTTCTGAGGTTCTTAGAGCTTCTTCAAATTCACCTGTGGACTGTCCTGACAGAATTATATGATATGTATAAATCAGCTCTTAAAGTGATTCATGGCCCTTAGTCAATATTTACTGAATACTGTAGACTTAGAAAAGTTTATTTAATGTGTATAGGTGTTGGATATGTGAATATACCAAATACTACATTTAAAAAATAAATCTTAGGATTAAAAAATTTAATATAAAGTGGACTTCATTCATTGACTTTGGATGTTTCCGTTTTCCCACGAATCGATTTATTCAGCATGCAGTTCCTCTATTTTACTTTTAATGTATAATCATGATACCGATTAGTCCCCTGTGATTTATATTCAGTAAAATTTATACACTTTATAAATTATAACCAACATATATTTATTTTCAGAAGGGCGGTTTTGCAGAGATCTTAGTAATTTTATGGTTGAATTCATGACTCAATTAAAGTTAGACCACCATGGAAAACCTGGAAGCACTGTACTGTCGTTCCGTTCTAGTATGGGACTCCTGAACAGTACATATCCACGACGAAACGGTCGTCCAGTGTTTTCAGGTTTTTCATGGTGGTCTAGCTTTAATTGACTCATATATTTATTTATTTAAACACATAAACATTGATACAAGAAGGCACCAAATACATATGCACCACATAAATCATTCGATATATGTGAGGGTTGGAATACTTGCCTGGATGCCCAGACCGACATTTAACTGATTAAAAAGAATATTAGTCAGTCAGCTACAACGTAGAATCAGATACATTGATACATCGGTCCAAATTGCCATACCTCATTAGCACAACAAGATGAACACTGAATTCATATAAGTAGTTAATTCAATGGTGGTAATATATAAAAGAATGATTGCATATAAGGATATAGTACTGGAAGAAAGAATTAGTTCATAGAAAGAAAGATATAAAGCAAAAAGAATATAATCAGATATAATTTTTTCGGAGCGTTCATCAACACATTTTCGTCAGAAAACTTTTCTCTTATCTACTGTCCAGCAGGTGGTATGTATTAGCTGTCCAGTCTATCCAGTGAGCATAGATCCTATTCTGTATTAGAATACTCATTTAAACGTTCGTAATGAAAAATACATAACAGGATTTTACTTCATAACAACAGACTATCGTAAATTAATTGAATAAAAAGTCTTTTTTTTGTTAATGATGATGTAATGAGAACAGTAAACAATAATGAAAAAATCATCATAAACTAACCGTCCGGACAACGATTCGATGTGGCAACAACAACAGCGCCAAGATTAAATAAATTCTCAAATAATCGTTTTAATATCATTGCATCTGCAATATCTGTAACCTAATTTACATTGAAAACATGAAAATAGAAAACTTTTAGCAAGCTTTTATTTAATAATTTTTTCAACCTTAAAAGAAATCGAAAAAAAACTGAATACTTTATTGCTACGAAAACCTAATAAAGTTTATGTGGAACGATTTCGTCACTATGAGAGCTTCTAACGCCTTATCAATATGTTAGCTATGGTTTTTGATTGGAATAATGCACTTTTCGGTTGTTTTTTTTTGTGAATAATTTTATGACATGATCGGAAAGATCAATTGAAGCTTAAAGAAATGGTGAGACTTGAACAATAAAAAAAACGTTTCAGTAGACTTGATAAATTTCACTTGTTAATAATTCCTATTCGTAACATTACGTTTTCTACTTGACTAAATGTAATTGACAGCGATGGATGATAACAACCTTTCTCTATTTTTTTTTACCACAGTCGTAAATCTAAACATGTAAAATACAGTTCGAGAGGAACGAATCATATCGATAGATGAAACGATATGTATGACATTTAACTTTATATTTCTAAGAAAACAGAATGAATAATAATTTATTAAGGAAAAAGCAAACCTGAAATTCATCGAAGCATAACAATTTGTATTCATCAATGATACTTTTTGCTACTGGAGGAATAGGATCAAATGATTTTTTGTTTCTTGGAGCAGATGAACGAACAGAATGTAGCCCTTAAGAAAGATATATAACAAACAAAATGTGAGAAAATATGGTAGAATATTACATTTACTTGTGATATGTTTTGTACTCAGTTTAAAGTGTAAACAGAACTTTCTCAACTATAAATACACCGCAACGAATCCGTAGAATGGTGTAGTAGAATAAGGGTGGGAAAAATCGAATGCATTTGATACAAAATTACAGAGCATCTCAATAAAACCTAAGAACCACATAGTAAATCGTTAATTTGCAAACTATCAATCCATCGTCGCAAATCTGACTGTTCCTTTGCAAATATCAGTCCATTGTCTCAGATTTCATTGTTCATGCGTTTTCCTACCAATTGCGTTCCGTTTCCGTTCTTTCCTTATCGATCTTCTGCTGAAACATATTCTATGACTGACCACAGTAATATACTACTTATATGGATATAAGTAACCCACACCACAGTATGTTTCAGTTTTATTTAAATACTTGTTTGGTTTACTTATATACTAGTTACTCAGCTTTGAGCTGTACTTGTGTTGTGTGAGGGCTAACGATCATATATGGTTGCTCAATACAAAATAGACGGAGTGAAGTTCAAGTTTGTGACCTAATACCTGAAAGATAAGTACTTTAGCTGCCTTAAGCTACCTCTTTGTTTCAGTTTTACGAACCTCTATATTGAAAATAGCTCACAGATATATAGATATGTCATACTACTTAGCAATTATTTACTGAAAAAGTTCTATCAAAAGTAAACTTATTTCACAGACGATGAATTTAGAGTTACAAAGTAAGGAATATCTGGAGACTTCATTAATATAAATATCTAATTTGCTAACAATAAGCTGTAGGTCCTAGTCTAGTTCAGATAGCTAGGTGATAATGTTAGTTTTAGTAAAGTAAATGTGCAACATACGTTAGTGAGTGAAGAGACAAGAAATACTAGTTTACGACTGCAATACAAAATTAGGTGTTTGAATAAAAGGATATATTTAATTTTGTATGGTGGCGGTGTTTACGGAACATAGAAGGTAAGACACAACGAAGCTCAAAAGAAAGTTTAACTAATTGTTTTTTGCGAATTACTTGGTAAATGAAGGATCTAGCCGAGGCATAGATATTTATTTACTGTCGGTAGTTCCTAGCTCACTTATATTATTAGACCAAATAAGTATTCTCCAAGAAAATTTGTAGAAGTTACCAAAGCATAAAAATAAACGAAAATGGAGCAATGTTTTGATATGTGACTTGTTAATTGAAAGTCAAGTGCTCTGATCAGTGGATTATCAATTCTTATATGATTAGCTTAGAAGAGATCACATTATTTTAACAATTTTGCCACTAAATCTAAGTTACCAAAGTAGAATGTATAGTAATAAACTATTTTCGTACAGGTAATAAGTGGTCTAACTTACTGAAAATTAATTTCAACAATCCTTACCTATTATTAAAGCTATTTTACAGTATACTGTAAAATTATCATTCTCATATATTATTGGAACCTGAGTTGTGTATACGAGAACATTTGATTCGATAAACACGAAGACAAGAAAATTGGGCGAGTACCCTAAATTCCATGATTAATCAGTTTTTCACATGGTTTAAGTATCTTAGCTAAATACTTGGCTAGATTGTAAATCGGTGAATTCGTAAAATCTACCACTGGTCTTAGTGGAGTATTAATCTTGTGAATCTTTGGTAGTCCATAAAATCTGCATGGGCTACAAATCTTAGGATATAACTTAAACCATAAGGATGATCCTAGCTTAGTCTTTAATGACTGTAAGAGTTTGCTGGTTTCCGCCTTGAGTTTATTACGAGTTGTTCTACTTTTGGTTTCTTTAATTTGTTCATATGGTCCTTTTTGTAGATGTTATTTGTCTTTTCTCTCATACTCTGTTTTACTCATAATAACCGCAGTGTTACCCTTATCTGCTCTCGTAATTATAATTGTTTTGTCATCTCTCAATTGTTTTAATGCATAAAATTCATTTTTATTTATATTAGGATTATGAGGTTTCTGATGTAATAATGTGCAAGCGCTGTTGTTGCTCACGTAACGGAACTGGAAGAAGTGTTTTTAACAACCTTGTTTCTGGTTGCGTTTACATCGGTTGAAGCGTTGAAGACGGCTATCATCGATTATGAAAGATCGAGTTACAGTCATTATGTTGTGCGAGATTCGCATATTTGTCGAGATCAAAATTCTTATACAAAATTTGTGTGTTGGAGAAACGTGCGTATAAGATCTAGCGGTTCGTCACAGCGTATTAGACGGAGGAGGTAATTTGGTAAATGTTATTATGATTTGTTTTACGAAGCGCTTCCATGAACACCCAATGTCCGGCCTTCATGTATTGTAAGATTGTAGACGGCTATTGGACTGTCGTACGTGGGAATGTGCATCACAATCACGAGTGCAGTTCCCTGAGGTACGAAGGTAATTCATGGGTGCGTAGGTTAACGGATGGTGAGTTTGAAACAGTTAAACCGCTGCTGATATCTGGTACCGCAGCATTCCACGTAAATAATTTTGTTTACCAACCTTATGGTAAACGACTGACTGATCAAGACGTCTGTAATATGCGGTATAAACTGTTCTCACACGCGAACCTTCCAGGTAAGCAATTTGCCAATTTATAATGTACACCATAGGTGATTACGGCAAATTACAAGCTTACATAATATTCTTGGGTGGGCTATGCGAATACGAGTTAGACGATGATAACTGTCTATCGTATTTCTTCTTCATGACTGCAGAGCAATTGAATTGGGCCGGTCACTTTTGTAACGTTATTGGTTTTGACGGGACGTACAAAACGAATAACCAGAACGTCCATTTATATCAAGTAGTTGCCCTGGATATGAATTTTAAGGCAATACCCATCTGCATTGCCTTTTTAAGTCGTGAAACGTCAACATTAGTTTCTACGTTCCTGCGTTTTTTCCAACGGTGTACCAACAATCGGCACGTGGTAGGCATAGGATGAAGACAACCGACTATGCGATATCTGTAATCTTGCGCAGCCGCCTTGTGAAACTAATGATGCGGTTGATTGGGTTTTCTGTAGATGTGAAGCAATGTTTCATACCTTCTGTGCCTACGACCTATCACCGAACGTCCGAGCAGTGCACTGTCCTATGTGGCGCCATTTCGAACTAAAACGAGAACGAATAAAGGCCTTTTTCAGGGCCACCCACAATCTGATATCCATTATTTTTTCTACACTTCTTTTCCATGTCAAAGGTCAAGTGATTAAGACATCGGTCATGTTTTCGTAAACTTATTTCTAACGTTTATTAGATATAAAGGTTAACAAAAGTTAGACAACATTTTGTCATCTAACGAACACTAATCTAGTAATTTCAGATTTAAAATAATGTGATTACCGTTCACGTATTAGTAACACATTTGTAAACCATCGATTAATAGTACATTTTAATAGGAATATTTCCATATTAGAAGGGGTTTTGTGGAGATTGTAGTAATTTCAATGATTAAGATCATGAGTCAGTTGAAGTTAGACCACCATGGAAAACCTGGAAGCACTGGACGGCCGTTTCGTCCTATTATGGGACTCTTCAGCAGTGCGCATCCACGACATTAACACCGTTGGATGCCGGCTCAGTGGTCTAGTGGTCAAGTGCTCACACGCGAAACCAGTAGGTCCTGGGTTCGAACCTCGCAGGGGGCGAGGTCGTGGATGCGCACTGCTGAGGAGTCCCATAATAGGACGAAACGGCCGTCCAGTGCTTCCAGGTTTTCCATGGTGGTCTAGCTTCAACTGACTCATGATCTTAATCATTGAAATATTTCAATATAGTGATAATTGTAATTTTGTCATAAGGTCAATGAATTTAGAATTACATTTATTAGTGAATTTAATAAGATGATTACAAGGATGAATGTGATTAAAGCTCATAGAGTATTTATTTATTTATTTTAACACATAAGTATAGGTACAGGGAGGCACGAAATACATATGCGCCACACAAATCTCAATTGATTTGTGTGAGGGCTGTGATACTGACCGGGTGCCCAAACCGAAGCAGGTGGTTTTCTTAGGGGGCCACACCCCGAGCCTTCGACCTGGACGTCTGACCCACAAGGCAGTGGAGCGTCGTGAGGAGATGCAGTCCCATGGTAGCCGGTGACCAACGATTGGTTCATACGCCATTTGTTCCCGCAGGATACTAGAGCCCACGTGCACCATTGATTTGGGGTCCGGTTAAAGCGCCGGACATTCGCTTTTCGTCCTCTCATTTTTGTAAACAACACCCCCGCCACGAGAAGGCAGTGAGTAGGACTTCCCTGTCAGAGGCTATATACACATGGCCATGTGAGAGCATTTCGAGAGCGGTAGCGGACTCTCCCCACTCTCGGCCGTACCAGGGCATTTGTGGCTCATAGAGTAGTGAACACAATTAAGAAAATTATCTTATTTATGAATAAAATAATGACATTATAAAACAAGTTGAAACCGTAATCATTGAAATGATTAATGCGATTAAAGGTCATACAGAGGGTGTAAAAAGAAATAACAATATAATCCGTTTCATGAATACAAAAATAATAAATTTATATTCTTGTTTTATATTAAAAGTACATTAAAGCCGAACTATGCGTACGTCTGATCTTAAACTAAGCCTTCATTGTTATTCACCATCAATACTGATTATAACACCGTGTCCATTAAAACACCTATATAACTATTAATGACTGGTACAATCACATTTTAGCATTAAAAAATTCTCCTACTATGCATTTCATTCACACAATTTTTTTGCATTTTCATCACTCTAAATCATTCTAACCTTTATTGAATAACCTTTCTAATTTGCAAATAATACAATTTTAAGGTAAATATATAGTAACAGATGCAAGCGTTTACCATTCATTAATACATGCCATATATTCGGCCTTTGTAACCTATAACTGTAGAACCTTATGATGAAGTTATTGAAAACAATTGTTCGCTCAAATATTCTTCATTTTTAATAATTCTCTATATAAGTCGATTTAAGCTAGACCACCACTGCGTTGCACTATCTCTAGGACTCCAACCAGTGAGTCGTGAATGACCAACAAAAGCCAGCTCTTTGCAGCTTTTTTTCATACCATGACACCATGTTATACACTGACCACCTCTCGGCTTTTTTCAACAAGTCCTAGAGTCGCCAAAATATGCTCGACGTGGAATTCTCTGTGACGGCATTCGTAGAACATGACCAAACCAACGAAATAGATGTTTCAAGATAGTGACTCCAATTGAATTATCGTTGTTGTGTCCGAACGCACGATGCAGAACCTCTGCATTACTAATATGGTGTTGACACTGGATATCAGCAATCCTTCGGAGATTAAACAGAGAGAGTCGTCTGACATCCTCAACTCGGAGAAGTCAGGTTTCATAAGCATAGAGCAAAACTGTTCTCATCGACGCGTTGTAGATCCGACCATTTACAGCCAGACTAACATCACGAAGGTACCAAAGATGTACCAAACTGAAATAAGTCGCTCTGGCTTTTGCTATACGTGAATTGATCTCATCACACACACCACCACCAGCACTTATTCAGCTACTCAGATACACGAACTCGACTACTTCTATTTCCAGAAACGACAATAATTACTGGATCCCTGAATAGCAGTCGACAACGAAAACAATTAATCTTTTCCAAAGGTATGATTTTTGTTTACACACGTTGATCGAATTCTAAAACACAGCAATCGCGTTACGTTGAATATTAATGGGGATAACGAAGATATTCACAACCTAAACTGGAGAACAGTGAACAGGCTCAACTCCAACGTTTACAAAATGATTCAAACGACGAGGAACGAAATTAGGAAAATCCCACACATCTGATATCTTTGAAGACATCGGTTTAAGACACAAACAGCACCACTGAAAGTTAAATCTCTCTAATTTATTATATCTTAGATAATGACCATTTCATAGTGTTTAGTATTTTAAAAATCAACGTTGAGTCTATGTTATTTTTTTCTAACGAGTGGATCAGCACAACTCATAAGAGATAGCAGGATAGATCAAAGCTAAGAACGATGTATGATAAGGATTCATCAGCTCCCCTGCTGAATAATCAACTCTCGAACACTAGAACTGTAAGCGGTGTCACCATTAGTTCATTTTATTTCAAGAGAATAAGTAAACACAAGAATCTGACAGAAATGATGTACTTTAGGCCTTTGAAAGTCTTTTATCTTTAAAAAAATCAGCTCTTTAGTATTTATGTCACCAATGTTTATTACCTGCAAAGATATATTTCGGATTTTAAAAACAGTATTATTAACAAAAAAAACAATACACAAGTTTTAACACACTGACCAACATGACAACTTACTTCCATGTACTTCAAACATGAATGAGTGGAAGTGAGTTCTCCACTTGTAATCGAGACTACAGCACTCATAAAACAAATCCATTAACATAGTCTTCCCGCAACCTTTAAAACATTTACTCATTTCTAATATTAAACTAACCCACAGAACCGTACAGATAAATACCTCTAGGAGCACTTTGACTACTAATCACCTACCATATATTAGGTAAGGTAGTAGATAAACTTACTGATAATAATCGCCTTCTGCTATAGTATGAGTGTAACTCCTTACAAAGTCCATCAAGTTGTCTGACAATTGAAAATTGGAAATCATCATGCTTAATTTTTCCTTCTTTAACAAGTCTACAATACATAGACGAAGTTATTTGTCCATCAGCATATTGTCTCAAAGGAATGAAATAACTTTTTTGAATAGCGAATAAAATATTGATGGCACAGCCTTTACTCAACATTAAGCAGGAAATGTAATTATGCAACTATGATCTTTATATCTCTCAGTTCCAAAAACTCTGAAAATGTGGAGAGCAGAAACCAAATCTTCAACGTTTGACCAAACTTTCAGATTATTTTCTCAGTTCCATTTCTGAAGCTCTGAGAGTAAATTTTACATACATTGAGGTCAGAGTTTTGTCTCAGACATGACAGAAACCTGAAAAAAAGACTTTAATGGGATGTAGACTGATAAGACACCAGTTGAAATACACTTCAGAACTCCTAAACTTGAAGCAAATATCAACCCCTTTTTACGAGATCAATAAAGTTTAGAATCATTAAAACATGGATTTAACTGGTAGGTTACTGTAAGAGTAAGCATGAGTCACCATACGACTGCTTCCATGCTTGAACCACGAATGCCTTCAGGTAAGGACTTAGACACACTTGACGATAGAAAGGAAAATTTTAGTAAATTATAATGAAATATCGTTCAAAGTCCTCAAGAATGTCAAGTTTTCTCTCGGAGTCATGGGAAGTCCCACAGACCATCTCAGCTGGCAGAGAATTCCAGTATTTGATAACTCATAAAGAGTAGAACGTGTGCCTACATTCCGTTATATGTTGTCTCGAATGTCTGTGTATTCCCCTGAGGTATGTGTTGAGAGTAAGCTTCAGTATTTTAGGTTAGGAGTGTTTAAGATGCTGTAATTCATTAAAAGGTCACCTTTGAGATACTTACGGTCTAATAGGTACAGAACCGATGATTTGAGGCGCACCTCTTAAGGTTTTAATTTTGATTCCTCGGATTGTGGATGCGTTCCGGTGTATCTCTATACTTCTGGAGTGAAGGAGGAGACATTATCGTACAATAGATGGGTTCAAATAAAACTGTTAAACATTAAGTGGAAAGTTCTGCTGCTGATCTGACCAAAAGTGCGCTTCAGCCTTACCAGTACAAACTTTGTTCGAAGACATTCATGTCACAGAGTACCAAAACTCCTAGATATTTATCAGCTTGGGACACTTCCAGAGGAAGGTTGCCTAAGATGTACGTGTAGTTTGCAACTTTTCAGATGGACTACATCACACTTAGAAGTGTTGAACATAGGTCCGTTGTTATCTGCCCAACTAAAAAGTTGAATAAGATCCTCTTGAAGTGCTAGCTTATTATCCTGGTTACAAACTTAACATCGTCAGCGAACAGTAATAACTAAGATGATATTTGCTGAGGGCCATTTATATAAATTAAAAAAAGAGGTCCAAGTACAGAACCCTGAGGGTTCCCCGCTAAGATATTCATTAGTCTGAGAAGAGGTCAAATTTATCTACATATGAATTGAATCACCTATTAGTGGTGACTTTATACTTAATTTTTTGAACTTATTGATGAGACAGATTTGAGTGACCCAATTAAAAACTTTTGAAGAGTCAAGGTATATCACATTTACCTTCTCATTGAGATCAAGGAGGTTTATTGCGTCAGGCTCCTCTGGAAAATTGGTAGACCAGCCCCTAAATGCCTGAGACCGCGTTTTGGTTTAGAGAAAACTTGGTACGGCACCTTAAACCGATGCATATATGTGCCTGGTCCTACGTTACAGCTGACTGACTTGGTATTGGACGATCAAGTTGGCATTTCTCTTTGTCATCTGAAGAGCAACTGCTAACGTTGGATGCATGTCCTCAGCAAGAAGACATGAAGGAGAAAATTTGAAAGTCTATTGAGATGGTTGGGTTATTAATTTTCATTTTAGATGGCCATAGTGATGCGACTAATGGATAATAATCCAAAAAACCTCCGTGTGCTATACCTCGTCATGAAAGTGGTCAGCCACTTTGAACTGCCTGGCACTTCACAGCAGTATACGAAACATAAGCTTTTATTTTTACCCATTAGGTACAATAACATCACGTTGTTCATTGTCAACTGTCATAGAAAAAAGCCTTGTATGAAACAGTAAAGCAAAGTCATTTTCACGACATGAGAATTAAGCTGAAAAAACATCATATAAGTAAAGGTTTGAAGTAATAACCTTTTATTATTGTTCTGTAGTTGCATTGTTCAGTGTTAATGAACATTACCGTAAGTCTTATTTTATGTTGTCAGTTGTTGACCGAAAAACGTTTGCAGTTTAATGTTGTTGTAAATGCTAGTTTTTGTTGTATTTTAGAGTCCACAAAACGGCGATTTCGATTCTGGACAGTAACACTCGAGTTCCAGTTTTCGAAAATCCTTTTATTTTAACGATAACTATAAGCATTCTTTATCTATGTATTTACTTTCTCACTTACGTGTGCTACACAGACATATTAAGCACATGTTGAGAACGTGTTTGGTTTCCTATGGAATTGACAATTAGGATATATTCCTAATAAATAATCCATTACCCTTTAGCTGTAACCTTTTGGCAGATCATGGTAAGTGACAGTGGAACTTCGCTGCGGCGAATATAGAAAACATTTGGGCTAATAGCATACTGTACGTAAATAGAAGTGAAGGTTAAGCAATAAAGCGTAAATTTACTAGAAAACTCAGTGTATTGTGGTGAGAAGCAAATAATTCGGAAAAATGGCTAACTTATGCTGACAAAAAAGAGGATGTCGCACTATTTCCCGATGGCAAGCGAAAATGGATTTTTTTGACGCGTATCTCATTTCCACATCATTGTCTTAAGGAAAATCACCTCTTATTTTTTACATGCCTTTATTTTTGGTTTGCTTGGATAGATCATAATTTCGTCGATTTTTCCTCTCAAAAAAGTTTGGAAAATCTAGGTGACTTGAAAAGCTATAATGATACCCAATATCCCTATTTTGGGGAAACCACTATAGAAAACTCTGAGGAAATGGCACGAAAACCACAATATTTATCCAAACTTTAGGGAACACTACCAAACTTTTTACGACTGGGGAATCCCGAAAATTTACCCAACATAGGGATATTGGGTTCATTAAGATGAAAGCTTGGATCTTAACTTCAAAGGACTAAAATCTTGATAAAAATGTTATCGCACGATATATTGCAATGTTTAAGCACTCAGTAGTTAGTCATGAACACATATGGGTTTCCGTTAAGGATATTAGCCCCCAAATGCCCTGGTACGGCCGAGATTGGGGAGAGTCCGCTACCGCTCTCGAAATGCTCTCACATGGCCATGTGTATATAGCCTCTGACAGGGAAGTCCTACTCACTGCCTTCTCGTGGCGGGGGTGTTGTTTACAAAAATGAGAGGACGAAAAGCGAATGTCTGGCGCTTTAACCGGACCCCAAATCATTGGTGCACATGGGCTCCAGTATCCTGCGGGAACAAATGGCGTATGAACCAATCGTTGGTCACCGGCTACCATGGGACTGCATCTCCTCACGACGCTCCACTGCCTTGTGGGTCAGACGTCCAGGTCGAAGGCTCGGGGTGTGGCCCCCTAAGAAAACCACCTGCTTCGGTTTGGGCACCCGGTCAGTATCACAGCCCTCACACAAATCAATTGAGATTTGTGTGGCGCATATGTATTTGGTGCCTCTCTGTACCTATACTTATGTGTTAAAATAAATAAATAAATAAATAAGGATATTGACTGTAAATGTATTGCCATTGTGTCCATTTCTTAGTTATTGTTCCAATGTTGCGTACTTTTATGTGAATGTATTTTGTTTCATTTGTGCTGAAGGTATGACCGTAAACCATTTCCTTACCTCTTATGAAATATTTAGCTCGCTTACAAACAATAAGTCATTGTAGATACACCAAGTGAAAAGCAGATTATGATAGCAGACAGTGGATATTTGGTGAGGAACTTTGCCTCTATCCAGCGAAGCTTGTTGATATACACCTACAAAACAGTGACCAACCAGATGACAATTGGTCTGTCCTGAAGTGCAGCGTCATTCACGAGTGCGGTGAGTCACAAACACAGAAATGATCATTTGCTATAGATGGTTTCCAGTCTGAAAAGGACATGTTGGTTTCCGTCAAAAAATTAGATGTTTGTCGTATGAACGGTTCAACGGACTAAACAACCTTGCCACTAAACACTGGGAAGCCGAAGTCAGTACAATAATCTTACTAACATTTTGTAGAGGTGCACTGAAACGTAAAGAAGGGTTTCTTTACAATTACGTTGAAATGGATGTTACCGAGATGCACGCTGTAAATAGTTACGTCCAATATCTCAAACTTCGGTTGTTCAACAGTGTTATCTCGCCGATTGCTAAGTAGACCTGTTTACTTTTGGGATTATAATTAACAAGTTCGGCATAATTGGATACGTCGCCATCAACGTTCAAGTCTAGGCAGTGCGTTCGCGGCCGAGTAAGTCATGTGTCCGATTGAGTTGAATTTTTGAGATTCGATAGACTGTATACTGTACTGCAGAACATATCGTCGGGTATTTCTGACTTGAGTGCCAATATGAAGCAGCTACTGTCGAAGTCTGGTGAGCGTAAACATCCGCGAAAATTCGATTGCGGACTGTCAAGCCAACGGTTCCCTTTATCATCTGAAGATGAACTGGGAACGTTGGACGCTTGTTTTCAGCAGGAAGAGTTAAGAGACGTATTTTTAAGTCAACAAAATTAATATGATCATTTGTTTTTATTACAGAGGGGCATGTTGACGAGGTTAATGGATGATAAACCTAAAATATCAATGCGATATATTTTGTCATTTATCATGAAACGTGAAGTTGGCAGTCATTTCACGCTACTTGGCAAATCAGAAGTGCGGGTTTTAAAGCTGCATATGAAGCAGGGTGGTTTTTAAAACTTCAGATGCATTAACTAATCGGTTACTGGCAACAACTGTCAACGAAAAAAACCTTGTCATACATGACATTGTGACGCAAGGTTACTTTTAAGAGAGACAAATTATAAATGCGTAATCGAAGAAATCAAGAACATGTATGTACTAATTTAAGGTGATAACTATTCTCTATTATTCTATGGGTATAGTCTTCAGTGTTAACGAACGTAAATGTAAGTGAAGCCTCAAGTAGCTGGTTGTGTAAAAGCATGACATCCAGACATCGTGGTAACAGTTTTTGTTCTTAACATTTCAGAATTCACAAGAAGATTGTTTTGATTCTTAATAGTCGAACAGGCGCGACGAAAAAAACCAGTGTAGTATTTATCATGTTCAACCTCGTTTCCAAAAAACATGTTTTTAAACATGTGCTTACTTTATTACCTGCATGGAAAACACTTTGACTAGATGCTGAGAAAGACTATTTGATTTGCAGTTAAGTACATGTGCCTAACTAATAATACGTAACCTGTACTTTCTTTTGTAGATCTTTTCAAAAAACAATTAGACTTGGCAATTACTAATAAAATACATAATGATTGATGCTCTAGCATCCGCCAACTACTCATAATGTTGTGCGACATTACGTTTTGTTCCTAACGATAAATTTCCTTAAACATATACCATTTTTTACGTGGATTGCAGTTTTCGTGTGGTGTGTTATGGAAATAAAGGCGAACGCAGGAGACGTTTAAGATTATACCAAAAGCGTTTTAAAAGTGGAAAAAAAATTACAGAAATAGGCGTTTATTTCGGCTAAAAGCAGACAGTTTGGCGTATATTTAGGTGAAAAGTAGACAATTCAGCGACGTTTGAAACACAGCTGTCGCTCTAGAGCGACAGAAAGGGAAAAACCTTCATCAATTCCCCCGGACAGGCGAAAAGGCAGGCGTTCCGCACTATTTTCCAACGAATTCTTCTCTTTGTTCGCCTTTAATGGTTGGTTGCTTATTACTGACTTAAGTGACACTTATTCTGGATACATAAATCGACGAAACTTTTGCTATCCTATCAAACTTCCGAGAATGTGTGAGCGAATTCCTTTTTTTAGTACTTCGGCAGTCCCCAGTTAAAAATACCTTTCTTACCAATATTCAATATTTTCGTCACGAGCTCGGACAAGGGGGTGGACAACCTTCAAAACTGATCGCGCCTTTTCCACGACCTTGGGCGGCTCAATGGACAACGGGCAATCAGAGTTCGGGGCGCCTGGGATCAATCGCGTGCATGTCGACTAGTATGGTTCTCAGGTGTTCGCTCATTTACATCTACCGTTGACTTCTTAAAACATTTAAAATGATTCATTATTCGTCAACTTGCTATTTGCAGACCTCAGGTTGTTTGCTTGTGTGTGATATCTAAAAAACATGGGTTGAATAATTCTGTTAGAGAATGTATTTTAGATAGGTAAGTAAATACTATGATTGACAAGAATCACATACGATTTAATAGATTAATAAAATGAGTAACACATCGTTCTATTTGCGGGTGGTATTACAACAGAATGAGCACGTGATAAATTTACGCTGGATGATATATAATCATACTTGTGAATGTTTGTGGATGATTTGTGGTCAGAAGACGAGCCTATTGACTTCGAAGGATGAGGATAATCGGGGGATTGTACAGATCCACACACCATCCTTAGATCAGGTGGTCAGTTGAGTTGGGGAACAGAATATTCATGAACTTACTATAACTGATGTACAGACAGTTGGAGTGCATATATCTACAGGCAAGTGTCCAGCAATATATTTTCGGGCTGTGGCACTCGAGAGCAAGTCTTCAGTTTCCTGAGACGTAAAAGTTAGCTGAGGGCATTTTCTTTCTGAGACTTAACATTATTGTAGCGGTAGAAAATCCTTAAAATCAATATCTCTAGGTCTTTAATTTGGATGCTGTTTACATTAGTTTCAATGGACTGATCTAGCTGAAGGCGCTCGGTCAAGCATCCGCTCCAAATCACGTGTGGGAGCACCGTCTTCAACATCTACTGCAAACGCTAGCCAGATTAGATCAGACGATCCTCGATATATTGATAGCCTATCAAATATATTTTCGAACCTCCTCACTTCTGTCTTTTGATTTCACTTGGTGGGTACCATTCATATTGGAAGGTGTTACTAGTTAAAGCGTTGTCAAACTCCGAATACCAGGGGCATCTTCATTATCTAGAATCTGCTTTCGTAGTTATGAACAGATTGCATCATATAGGCAATATCTAGAAGTTGTCTATATATATTCTACTTATAATACCGACAAAAAGATGTGAGAGTTCATCACAATAACCTTTACTTCGAAGGTATTAGTTGTTTCAGTTAGTGGTAGCTGAAAAATTCTTCGGCGGTCTGCAGGCGTGGATACAGACCGGAAGGCATGTCAATTTAATCTATGTATTAATGTAGACAACAGAAGCAATGCTTGGCTCGTCGTTATGATCCTATAGGAAGATCATAGTCCCCTGCAAATATCTGCTAGAACTGGTTGGATGATCAAAAAGGCTAACCAACCTGTTCCAACACAATTTCATACAGAAACTGTCCTAATCCAATCTAGATTTCGCCGACACCCATCAAGGACAGAGACGTTCTATAGGAACTGTGCTCAGCCTGAAGTCCCCACAGTCCAAAAGAGCCAACATAATATTTTTCTGCCTTCACGTTGGCCGTGCTTTCCTTAAAAATGTAAATGCCTGCAGACTAATAACGCGAAACTCAAGCCAGTCAAAGTATTCTAAGGGCCAATCTTTATTATGCAGTAAAAGCGAAGATTGTTGGACGGCCCGGTTGAACATCAGGTTTACCTGTTACTGCTATTTAGATATTTTAACAAGTTATATGCTTGTGTTTGTTTTAATTTATCACTCCGTTTCAGTATCGTTATAAGCCATAGGATTTCGCGTACATGTTACATATTGTCGAGGATTTTGAATATCATCATTTGTCGGGTATTAACAACATGTTTTACCATCTTACACCACTTTTCGTAACGCTTGGTGTTTTCACATGGCTTTTGCTTTTGTTTCTCAGTAGCTTGACGTATTTGTTGCTGATAACCTGAGTGAATGTTTAGTAAGCATAATGTGGTTATTTGTAGCACTGCCAAGTCAGGCTGTTGAAATTCATCATTTATCAAGTCAAAAATAGACTGAATTCAGTTGTTTTAGCAAAAATGGGTTCTTAAATCATTCACGTTTGATTCACCTCCCTGGTTATTGTGGTGTTGAACATGGATGTTGGTAGCTGTCTATAAAATGTTAGTTAAAGTAATTAGGCGTTAAACTATTTTTGAATATTATATAAGGTACTAATATGCAGCCATAAACAGTTCTATCAAGTGCAATTATCATGATTTTCGACTGCATTGACATATTACTATGTAAGGTGTCTGAGAAAGAAGAAATTATGGATAACAGTTGACCTTGATAGCCTTTCGCTGTACAGCTTACAAAAGAGCCCAACCAGAGAGACTTTGGTTTCAGGCAATATGCGTTGGAAAGAATGCATATTATACAGATATAGATTTCTGAACTGCCAACATCTAACTGGCAACCACTCAATATTTGTTGTAAGGATCGATCAAGAAATTAGAAACAAGAAGTTAAGTTAAAATGTTTTGACCATCGACTTCTTTAATTGATGACTCTAAAGAATTGAATAATTTTTAAAAATGACTTGATTTTAAGCATTATTGTTAGCCTTATTCAATATTGTATTTTTTTTACAATATAGAATTTTTAACACAAACTATCTCAAAAAGTTTTGCATCTCAACATATGGTGAGTTATAAAAACATGAAACACTAATCTGAATATCAAAAGCATAAGAAATAGCAAGATAATTAGAATCACATATCAACTTTACTAATCTAGTATATTTGGCAAAAGTCATACACACAGACTCTGGAGCTGTAATAAGTTCTTGAAATTGCCGAAACGAAATGTTGAATAAAATAGCATACATCATGGACCACGGAGATAACATGAAGGGCACGCATCCTGTCCTTTTAATAAGCATTTTATCAATTGCTATAACAGAAAGAGGGAAGTTTGGTTTTACTTGTCCCTTAACTTCAGGCACAGAAAGCCATAAGACATAGATGACTACTTAGTTTTTATTCCTTCTCCTAAAAGCCACTAGCTGAGGAATCCGCGGCTACGTTAGCGAGGAGAGCATTTCAGGAGAGGCTTGGTTGTTGTAAGAGTAAATGTGATTCTGTCGGAGCACTAACTTATTGTAGGTTACCTCGTAAACGTAACTGTCTAGAATAGAGTTGCATATTTTTATTGTGGTGAAGTTGCGCCTCATATTTTTCTGTAGCTCAAGGAGTTCATTTAGTGGGTGGGTGCTGCGTATAAGAACACGGCTTTTCCAAAGATTTCATTTCGTCCATATAAAGCTACGTAGATATGTCATTGGAGACCGCGCAATAGTAATGTATACCAACTCTAAGGGAAACCTTCAGAAAAATTATTCCTTACATCAAACACTCACCTGATAAATCAAGAAAAAGACTCGAAACATCTTGTAGTATTCAGCTTTTGATAGGTTGCATCTAGCCCAAAGGCACCTTGTTTCCTTGGAGAGGGTGAGGAGCAATATACGGTAGAATCCGAAAGAGGACGGAATAAATGAGATGACGGTTTGGCAAACACGGTGGGTTTACTGACATTTGATAATAAAAACGATCAAAAACATCCAGAAATAACAAAAATTTGAGATTAAGACAAACTGGTAGTAAAAACAAGAATTAGATGGAGTAAGGTTTAGAATGTGTTATAACTTAACACGTGGTGGAGAAGATTTATAGCTCAGGTGCATGATTTTAATGGAGTTTTTTCATCGTTATTCTGAACGACATCATCAGCACAAGCCTTAGGTAGATGTGACTGCATCAAAGTCTAACGCGCATTGAACGTCGAAAACCAGGTGCATTATAAGTTTATGGACGCATGTGTGATGATTAGAAGTATTTGAATCATTATGCGAACTAGAAATTCACAAAATAGCACAATAAAGTCAGAAGAAAGTAGGTGAGTACAAATGAACGTATTGTATTCAGAAATCGAAATCTGGCACACATCAATTACTACAGAATCATTAGTTCATACAAATACAGCATATTCATTCCTTCACATAGTTTGTCCTTTAATCCTGATTCACTTTGATGCATCCATATGTACTTCTTTCAAGGTATTCATATCCCTTTAAAAGAGAAGCGTTGCAAAGATGTCGTTGGTCTCCAGATGTAAAAGTCTGCAGGTCTTTAGTAGTGCCAGAATGAGTTTGAAAGTTAGCCTTCAAAAGAAGCAAAGATTATGTAGACATTAAATACAGCTCCCTGGTATTTACCATTAGTGGTTAGCCTTTCTGTTGTTAACAAACCCAATTCGCGCTGCAGAAATGTCTCAGAGGATTGGTGGCTGTAACGAAAATAGTCGGCCTAAGGCTTGACTGCAGCTCAAGATAACATCGTTTGATGTTATTGGAGACTGAATATAATACTATTGTTTTGAGCTTATAATTCCACCAATCCTATGTTTTTTGGACCCTAAAAATGATCGCCACATATTATAGCTTCCTACAAGGATGTTAGATCACTGTTCCATAGTTTTGTTTGCAAAGTTAGAAAGAATGTGTACCATATTGCACTTCCGTTTGTGCAATACGTCCTCCTCCTTAAAGGTGGATGGTAAAAATTGGTAATGTAGAATGTATTAAGAAAAAAACACTTCAATCTGCAGCATAATAAATGGAAGGGAAAAATATAACCACCAAATAAATCTTCGCGCTTTTATCTTGAGATATTTTTCAAGTTTTCGAAGCGATGACATCTCGATGATTGTGATGTTTTACGTTAGAAAGAGTTGGAAGGTTAGAGTTTGCGATACACCACTTTTCAACAATCAATCACTATTTTTCTAGAGTTCAGTAACTTCCAAACGAAGTTGGTTGATAAAAAAATATTTTTACACCAATGCTTTTAAACACTGAATTCACCTTTATTTCATTTCCCTCTAGCTGGCTTCTATGTGTTTATGTGATACTACCTACTATTAGTAAGTAGTTTCACTTATATGAAATCATTTACGTGTATTGACATTGGATGTATTGCTGAGAAACTATCACTTTGATTATACATTCTCTGTTCAATAGTTTATTTGTAAGTCATTCATTTGCTGCACCTCATTTTAATATCCGTTTATTTAAGAGATATGCATCAATAATTGAATTTTGTGGATTGTTATGAGATGACTGTAGTGCATCATTATGCCATCATTTATCGATTAGCAATTTATTTATGCACAATGAATCTAAAAATTATCCTTTAAAACAGTAGTTTATGTGATTGTCTATAACTATTTATTGATCGATAAGCAATACTATGAACTGTGGTTGAATGGATAGTAACCCATAAAGCATGAATATGAGAAGAGGAAATCACTTACCAATTAATACGTTTATTTACACGAATTTGATTGACTAGCTATATTATCAAAGAGTTGTAGTACTTCATTCTAAATATCATGTCAATTCTTCGCTCATCGAAACGCTTGATTTATCTATAGTCAGAAATCAGATATCAAGATAGTGATTTTAAACGATTCCTTCAGATGGCTTTTTATACAAATCTTAATGAACAAATAATTTTCAGTGATGTTACTTGTAAAATTATATTTCATGCGATGATACATGAGCATCGGTTGGAAGTGGTGTTTTCAAATCCTACACATCATGTGAAGATAAACTCAAAGGAAAGACAAAATAAATTGAAACTACAAATATGAAGCAATGATTAGATGTATATTACACATGTGTAGTGTGAGTTACAAAAATGATACGTTCAACTAGTAAAATAGGAACTTTCGTCTAAAGTTGAACGAATAGTTTCACAATATTTTGGCGCCAAGTAAATGTGAGACATTAAAGAGGAAAAAATGTATTTGTAAAATCTCAGCGAAAGAATTTGAAGTTAATCCAACGTTTCGCCCGGCAATCCGGTCCAAGCTTTTTCAAGGAAAATATAATCAAACAACAAAATTATCGAATATAAATAGGTACATGGTTCTGTGGTTTACTGTATACTGAATAAGACATCCAATCAACGTGAACACTGTTTGAAGTAGGTATTTACATAAATGTGTAAGAGACATGTGTTGTTAAATGAAAAATGTTAAGATAACAGATTGTGTGTCTACGTAAGTGATGTGAGAATAAATTTCATTCAACTATATATATTTGGTATTGTTTGGCTTGTATCTTCCCATTGAGGTTTAAGACTGAAATTGATCAGTCTGTTATTGGCATATGTGCATACTGTGCGTATGTCTCGATATTACTTTAATTCACAAGCTTTTTGTGGTGTAAGCAATGATGGATGGTGGCTAGCAGTTGAATCCAGTTTGATGTGCATTTTCGTCCTATTTGGGACTTGTCAGCTGGATGTACCTATCAGGACTAAGTAGCTGAATGGATAACGCGATGGCGTTTGAAGCGAATGATACTGAGTTCGAGTCCCAGAGTGAACATCAACTTTGAGATGCAGGTACATCCAGCTGACAAATTCCAAATAGGACGGAACGCGCATCCTGAATTCCACTGCTAGCCACTTTTCATTATTGCTTACACTACAAAAAACTATATATATATTGTCTTCGCTATGTGTATATTAAGAAGACATATCATTTTATATATGATATGAGTCAAAATGTCACAGACTGCATTAAATGAAGATAAATAAACAAGATAAGTAAACAGGATAAAAGACTGAATTCAAAGAGGAAGAATGTATCTGTAATTGAAAGTTTGTGTTATTTTAATGTTCCAGTCAATTGTTTAACATATTCAGATAAGATAACTTATTTGAACCGTTAAATGTATTATCTAAAGATTGTTTAATATGATATAGATAGACAGAATGGAATAAGGAGCTCAGGTTTACTTATTAATTTTTAGTTGCCATGGGGCAGCTAGTTGTATTCCATCTCTCCTATTAATACTGTTCGAATTAGCCCATATAAGTAGGGCTTCGGCTGTTGGCCGTTCTTTGTAAGAATTAAAGCCTTTTTGAATGATTCTTGCGCCATTAAAATCAACTGTATGACTCGATTCAATTGAGTGTAATGCTGTTGCTGATTTGTTCTCAAGTTTTCTTACATCATCTGAGGATTTAGGAATGTGCTTTAAGCACAATTTGTGTTCCCTTACCCTCACATTCAATTGCCTTGATGTTTCACCTACATACGTTGCATTACAATCATTACATTTGATTTCATAAACACAATTCTGTTGTTCATCCTTGAGTATTCGATCTTTGACTCGTATTAGTTTTGATCTCAGAGTATTGTTTGTTCGAAAGAATACTCTTATATTCTGAGGAGTTAGAATTCTTCTGATCTCCTCTGAAATACCTTTACGATATAGGATGACCACTGTGTTAATCCATTCTTTTTGCTTAACTATTTTTTAATAATATCATTTCGTTCTTCATTCTTAATTATTCTTTTAATAAAACCCTTCGGATAATTATTCATCGCTAGAGTGGATACAATTGAATTCATTTCCATTTTTATATCATTTGGTTCAGTGACAAGTTCTTTGACTCTGGTGATCAAATTTTTGGCCACTGTCACTTTGGTAGAGTATCGATGCGCAGACTTAAAACCTAGAAATTTCCCTGAATATGTCGGCTTTCGGAAAATACTAATTTTCAAACAATCATTATACTTCTTTTCAACCAGACAGTCTAGAAATAGTAATTTTCGTTCAGGAGATTCCAACTCTTTAGTGAACTTGATTTTGTCATAAATGCTGTTGACACGTTGAAATAGTTCGTCTAAAGCATCTCGTTTTATAATGACGAAAGTGTCATCTACGTATGTTAACCAAATTTTCGGTGGAATGGAGCACATTGAGATAGCACTTTTTTCCAGTGAATGCATGAATAAGTTAGCAACAGTTGGAGAAACCGGTGATCCCATAGCTACACCTTCTGTTTGTCTGTACAGATCTCGAAAACTGAAAACAGTTGAATGTAAGAAATATCCAACTCTCTAAAAATTTATGAGGGGTCTATAGGACAACGTTGTTTAAGTTCATTGTGAGAATCTAAGAGGTTATACACAACATTTAAAGCTTTATTAACAGTAACAATAGTGAACAATGAGCAAACATCAAAACATGCCATTATTTCATCCTCTTCTAAGCGGATATTACTGACAATGTTTTTGAAATCATTAAGAATTTTAGCCAGGTATCTAGAAATATTATAGGTTGGTGAATTTATGTAATCAACGACAGGTCTTAGTGGCATATCTGCTTTGTGTATTTTTGATAAGTCATAAAACCTACAAGGGTTATTGCTATTCGGATATAAAGAGAACCATAAAGATGGTCCTAGTTTGGATTTTAACTTCTGTAGCATTTTGGCTGTTTCAGCTTTCAACTTATTTAAAGTGGCTCTACATTTGTTCTTGATGATTTTTTCATACGGTCCATTTTAGAGATGTTCATTGACTTTTCTTTCATAGTCAGAATTATTCATAACAACAGTGGTGTTTCCCTTGTCTGCTTTCATAATAACAATTTTTCTGTCTTTACGTAACTGTTTTAGGGCATACATTTCTTCTTTAGAAATATTAGGCGTATTTGATTTTTGATTCAATAATGCAGCTGAGATTTTGAACCTCACTGAATTTGCTTGATCATCCGGAACCTTGTTTAAGGCAGGCTCGATTAACGGAATAATTTCAGAGGCCGAAATTCGTGTTTTGTTCATATTGAAATTGAGACCTTTTTTAAGTAGTGATAGTTCGTGTTCATTTAAATGTCTGTCAGATAGATTTACCACTATTTTCTTTATTTCGAGTTCCTTGGATTTTGACGAATGTTTAAACATTTGTTCAAATTTTCTTATTTGACGTCTTTTTGTAATTTGATCATAAAAGTTTGAAAAATTCATTACCATTTGTTTTTAAGTCTGTTGGTATAATTAGTGATAAAGCACTATCAATGTTTGCAATACGTGGACGTAGAGATTCGAAGTTTAAAGTGGATTTATGTATACGTTCTCTAAGGAATACTCTTGTAGCTGTAACGGCTGCTTTTTGTGAACGCATAGAATTGTCTGGAGTCTTGACTCTTAACGTTTTTGGATAAACACTTACGTAGACACACAATCTGTTATCTTAACATTTTTCATTTAACAACACATGTCTCTTACACATTTATGTAAATACCTACTTCAAACAGTGTTCACGTTGATTGGATGTCTTATTCAGTATACAGTAAACCACAGAACCATGTACCTATTTATATTCGATAATTTTGTTGTTTGATTATATTTTCCTTGAAAAAGCTTGGACCGGATTGCCGGGCGAAACGTTGGATTAACTTCAAATTCTTTCGCTGAGATTTTACAAATACATTTTTTCCTCTTTAATGTTTTAACTAGTAAAGTTCAGTAAAATGTATATGATCAACATAAAATGTTGACTATCGATGGAACTAGTTACATACGTCATTATTTGACATCATGGAAGGAAACACCTAAAATTGTTTTTGTGGTTATACATTAAAAGTAATCTTTTCATGTTATAACATGTAATATGCTTAGCAACAGGCATGAAGGACTCCATACTGGAACGAAACGGCTGTTCGATACTACCTGGTCTTCAGTGGTTCCCAACTCTCAAACTTAAGTCAACCAGTGATATATACTACTACTAGTTACTTTGGATATCATTTACTACTATAGAAGAAAGTACCTAAAATTATTATTTGTCATTATACAATCAAAGTAATCTTTTATTTTTAAAAATATAATACCAAATATATTACTATCGTCCATATTAGGAACAACATTCATATCGAATTATATTGTTGTATTTTAAGAGAAAGCACTAAATAAATAATCAATCAATTAACCAATCAAATGTATAAATCCTTCCATTGATCAATTAACTATATTTGATTGGTCATGTGAACTAACCTATTTCTGGTTGGTTTTTCTTCATTTTTCTTTTTTTATTTATTTATCTAATTACATTCATTTAGTCAAATACGTATAAAGTGGATTTTATTAAAACAACAACAACAACAATAATAATAATAATTATTATTATTGCACTATCTTCATTGAATGTATGATCTAATATGCATAAAATTTATCCATGGTTTATATTAATTAGTGCTGCATTATGTGTTATATTTTTAGGTGGTAAACGTAGAGCATTTGGTATATTTATTGCAAAATTACATTCAGAATTTAATCAAACAACATTAGTTGAATTAAATTGGATTGGTGATTCATATTCTGCATTAGGTTATTTAACAACAACAATAACAACATCTATAATTATATTAACTAATAAAAAATATGGTTTATCACAATTTTTTGGTGCATTATTTATATTATTAGCATGTATTACTAGTTCATTTGTACCAAATCCACATTGGTTATTTTTAACACATACTATATTACATGGTATTGGTTCATCATTAATATTAAGTACATCTAGTTTAATAGTAAATGATTATTTTAATAAAAATCATCCATATCATATATTAGCAACAACATTAGTATCTGGTGGTTCAGTTGCATCAATATTATTTATTGAATTTTATGCATTATTAATTGATAAATATAATTGGAGATTAACATTTATTATACTTGGTATTATATATTTTATTATATTATTTATTAGTTCTATTATATTTTGTAAAAAAAATAATATTCAATCTAATTTATATAAAATTAATAATAAATATAATGATCAATGGAATTTATGGAATATATGTTGGAAATTATATTGGCAACAAAAATTACTTATTATTTTATGGTTAATTGATAGAATTATAACAAGTATTGTAACATATGGTATGTTATTAAATTTAACTGATTATGTATATCAACATGAAACATTATTACAAAATAGTATATTATTAACAAATTTATTTGCATCTGGTGAAGCAACTACATATATAATTGGTGCTATTATAACTGGTTTAACAAAAAATTTATTAAAAAATCGATTAAAATATATATTAATTATAACAAGTATATGTATGTCAATTGGATTAATAATATGGGAATATTATACATTAAATTATATAATTAGTGCAATATTATCATATATGAATGGATTTTTTTTAGGACCATCTATAACATTTTTATATCCTGTTAGTGAAGAAATGACATTATTACCTGGTTATATATCTTATACATTATCATTAGGTGGTATGGGTATTGGAATGTTATTATCACCATTATTATCAGCATTAATTGCACAAACATTTAAATATCGTTGGTTTTTTTTAATACAAGGTATTATTGTTATAATTAAATCTATTTGTTTAATATGTTCATGGATATTAATTAAAAAATTAATTAAATTTAATAAACATTTATTATATAATAAACAACAAGAACAACAAAATCATAATGATGATGATGATGATGAAGAGGATGTAGAAGTAGAACAACAACAACAACAACAACAAGATGAAGATCAATCATTAACATTCAATAGTGAAACACAATGTTTAATAAATCCAATGACACAAAAACGATCTAATTCAAATGTGATTTAGTTCCTTTTTATTTGTTGTTCTCCTACTGATTTATTTTGTTTTATTTTATTTTATTTTTTTGTCTTCAAATTTTGTTCTTGTTGGTAATCTGATATCTTGATGAAATACACTACCGATTATCGGTAAGTTATATTGAATATTCAAATAAAGTATTTTTTTTTCTTGATTAGAATTATAACATTTATCATTCAAGTAAAGATGTGTTAATGTTACATTCTATTTTGTATAATACATTTATAACTTTAAGTGTTTGATATGGTGAGAGTATGATTTATGGACGATCTTTGAGCAACACTGAAGTGACGTTGAGTTTGAACACCTACTGATTAGGACTAAATGAGGGTTATAAAACAGTCAGAATTCTCATTTATAGTTGATGGTTAAGGTTAGGAATTAGATTTAGGGTTTTCATCACAAACTGACATCAGCTATAATGTCAAAACTCTATTTAGTCAAATGGATGAGTAAATTTCACTCCAAAATCTGACAACTATTATCTTATATCTGATTGGTTCGTCCATAAATTATAGTCTCACCGCTGATATAATTGATTTTTAGTGTTAAGTTCGGTGAAACTTGAAAGAGAAGATTAATAGATTGAAAGACCGTGATATTATATACTTATGAAGTGTCAAATATTTACTATCAGAGTGTGATAACCAGTTTTTATATAGAAAAATCTAGAACTGGAAACGTGATCAGAATGAAATTTCATAAAAATATAAACATGCTAATGTTTAAACCGTTTGGAATAGTTTTTCTGTTCCATTTAATACAAATACATACTGGTACAACTAATCATCAAAATGAGTATGCTCCATACAAATAGAGGAGAGAAGGGAAGTCACATAAATAACGAATCAAAAGATTAGAAATGATGATTTGTAATGAGAGATATAATTCAGATGAAAATACAACTTTGAAAAACTTCTTTCAGATCATATAGTTCCTCTTACTCTGATGAGGAATGTAAAGAAACCTTTGAAAGATCTCGATTGACTTTCAATTTCAGTCATGTCTGTAAACGTCTCAAGTGACTGAGCTTTACCATTTCTAGGACATTAATCAAGGAGTCGTGATGCGCTGACAGTTGCCACCATACTGTGTCATAAGTTGACCATGTCTATAACTAGTTTAAGCGTTGGGAAATAAAGTACGATTCGGAAGGCATTAAGATAACATTTATAAATCATATCCAAACCATCGAAATCGTTATGCCCCTATTATACAACAGAAGTACAAATAAATAGTTCATATACGTCAAAGTCTAATTATTCACAGCAATCAATAATAAACACTTCATAATCTATAATTATTTCTTGCTTATATTCAATAATAAGTGTAAAATTAAATATTTCAGTGTGTTTCACTCAATATATCACCCAGAAAAGTTACTGTTTAATGTTTATGGTTGTGGCCAATCCACCACAAACCGGAGAAACTAGGCTTAACTTTCCCTCTAAATAGTAATCACCATCATATAACATTACCTATAACGTTTTTCGGGTTCCATTTGACGAATAGTTTTCACCAAACATGTATTTATTCACTAATATGTCACATAAATCATAAACTTGTAATTATAAAATCTATGATCTAATCATTCTGCTACAATACACTGACTGTTTATTGTTTGATAATGTATTGAAACATCGTCTTCAGAAATGTATTCAATTTCATTTGGCAATACATTGCAATTTACAAGTTTCCGTTTGATTTCTGATCAAATTCTTAACAAACATGTATCCTAAGTGAAATATTTATCTTTGTCACGTTTGGTGGTCATGTACTTCTGACACTGATATGCACGCCTTGTATACGTGAGACCGACCTGTTACTTGAATGAGAACACAAGAAGTGAATCTAACCAGTTCAGACAGAATTCGTAACCGGTAGCGTTTAGATAATATTAGAAATAGTGTGATCTATCTATATCGAAATTCATTCAAAAACCTAAACAATAGAATGATAGCTACATAGTCTAAAACAACGTTATCGTTGAGTAGTATGAAGATTCTGAGTTCAATTACTTTCGAGATTATGAATATCTATTACTGTAAACTCTCCAACTAGAATGAAACGTCTTTTTATATTGTGGTGTTTTTGGTACTATCAATCTATGTTGTAAATAATTAGATGGTCAGTTTCACTAATCTAACGTTTAACAAAAGTGTATACGTCTAAAACCAGTTCAGCATTGTAAGAGCTTAACTTTGTGACATTTAATCTCTGTGCTAATCTTTAGGTCAACTATAAAGTAATCAAAAAGGGATTATAAATACAAAACTATCCAAATGACAAATTAGACAGTATTATCCTTCACTGTGTGTCAGAAATAGAAAAAAAATCAAATAAATCCCTCACTTGTTAGTACTCCTCTAGTTATTATACAAAAAAATAAATCAATGATAAAATCAGATCTCTCAGTTCTATTCTCAATTAATAAGTATTGATATAAATCTCAATTCTGTATAATTATGTAACTAACACATATGTGAACTGTAAAATGACAGTAGGGGTGAGCTAAGTGACCAAAATGTTTGATGTTTACAGTTTTGACATAGGTGTATACTTTTTATCTACCATATTCATTATAGATAATAACCTACTTGATGTGTATTTGACTAGTTATTTCAATTTTTCCATAGCATTGATGTAAGGGATATTTATTCAAACGTTAAGAGAAATCGTCTCCAACTAGTTGTCACTGATTTCCAATAATCCTTTAACTAGTGTCAGTCCATTTTGTCATACGTTAATTTGAAAATTGATCAACATGTTCAAATCACCTAACTTGATAAAAATTATATACTCACTAATAATCGATGTGTTTAAGGTAGTTTATTATTGTTGTCATGAGACCTTGTAATTGGTGGAATCCTCTCATGTGTATTGTGATGGAATTGACTAGTGAATGAAATGTGGACTGATGGATTATAATTGATTGTCCTAAAGGAAGTATGGTTATTTTGAAAGCTGTAGGTATTTAATGTAAACTAATAGATGTTTCTTGTGGCATTTGTACCAGCATCACCCAGGCTAACATCTGAGATGTTACTACTAAGCTATTCGTATTAGGAATGACCTGATGTTGGAGATCATGCAACAACATTGGTCATCAACCGATAAATAATCACTCGTGAAAGTAATGGAATAAAATCACTGTCCACCAGTTCTCAAGTGAAAATTGTTCTCCTGCTGGTATCAGTTCATGATGAAAACAATATGAGAATGAGATATTATACTCATTTTGCTGTAATTACCATGATCCATTTTTATATATTATCATTATTACTACTATTACTACTTAAGTAGTAAACAATGCACCCTTCAAAAATACTTATGCAAAATAAATAGAAAAACTAAATATTTGTATTTTACGTGTTATCATCAATTGACTGACATAAATCAATGTACATTGAATAAATGTTGCTTAATTTTGCTCCTATCCATATTTGAATAGAGTTATAAATTGATATCATTCAGTGACATGATCGAGTATAAACTTGTATAGTAAACTGTACATCATATTTTTGGTTAGTGTTTTAAGGATAGTGATTATTAGTGGAATGCAATGTTTACATTTTTTCTAAATTAAGAAGATGCACTTGTATTCTAATGTTGATATTCTCAGTAACTGATCAGATGTAAATGTGTTATTTACTAAGTAATAATAAACATCAAATTGTTGAACAAATATGACATATTATTATTAACAGTTTACATCTCGTTTATTGTAATGAAATTGATATAACTGACAAGTTTTATAAAAAGGAAATATAAGCCTTGATTTCTACTGCTTCTCGCTCATTCAACAGCCTTACTGCAATTATAATTAGGGGAATCCATTCATCATAAACAGATGTTGATAAATCATTACATTGAAGAGAACTTCCAAGATTATAGTTCTGCAGAAAAACATAATGAAAGGTTTACATGATATTTTTTAAAAACATTACACATTTTATATCACATAATGACTAAATATGCAATAGTAGTCCGTCATAAGCAAAGTGGAATATAACGCATATGTGAACGGTTCATATTACTACATTTCATCGGCAACTTACTTATTTACGCCTGTTACTCCTCGCAAAGGAGCATAGGTCGCTCACCAGAATTCTCCATCCAACCCTGCCCTGGGCAATCCTTTCCAGTTCTTATTCATCCTTTTCATATCCACTTTTATTTACCGATGTAATGTGTTCTTTTGCCTTCCTTTTATCCGCTTCCCTTCAGGATTTCAAATGATGGCTTACCTTTTGATGCAGTTTGATGATTTCCGTAATGTATGTCCTATCCATTTCCATCGTCTTTTCTTAGTTTCCTCTTCAGATGGAAGCTGTTTTGTCTTCTCCCACAAAAGGCTGTTGCTGATGGTATCCGGTCAATGGATGTTGAGTATCTTGCGTAGACAGCTATTTACAAATATTTGTACCTTCTTGGTGATGGTTGTGGTAATTCTCCACGTTTCAGCTCCGTACAGTAGAATTAAATGTCTTGACATTCATATTGAAGATTTTGACTTTGATATTGGTTGAAGTTGTTTTGAGTTCCATATGATCTTCAACTGTGGGAATGTGGCCCTTGCTTTGCCAATCCTCGCCTTTACGTTTGCATCTGCTCCTCCTTGTTCATCGATGATGCTTCCCAGGTATGTGAAGGGTTCTACATCTTCCAGAGTTTCTCCACCAAGTGTGATTGGATTGGTGTTCTCCATGTTGTATTTGAACTCCGCCTGGAGTCCCTTTCCGGGGGCTACTGCCGGCCCCAAGCCCGGATAAAGGAGGAGGGTTGGGCATAGGGTTAGCGAACCCATCCCGTAGAAAACTAACTCGCTAAAAAAACGCTAATCAGAAAAAATTATTCAAACCATTTAAACTCTGCCCTGGGAGTCAGGAGGTCTTCGTTTAGAAGAATTATGACGCCTCATAATGAAAGCCGAGTTTCTTCGGAAGTCACGAGGCCGATGCCCCTTCTGACAACCAGAGCAACCATTTATTTAGGTACATGGAATGCTCGCACAATGTGGGAGACTGGGAGAGTTTTCCAAATTGCTGCAGAAATGAGGAGATACAATTTAGAGGTGCTTGGGATCAGTGAAACACATTGGACGCAAGTT